TTTAGCTTCAAAAGGACGGTTGGGGGGGGGGGGGGGGTATGGTTTTTGGTTTGAGTTAGATTTTTTTCGCGCAAAGGGCTTCAACGCTTTCAATCAAAATTATTTGGTCAAAAATTAACACTAGAAGGTATGATAATCTGGATTCAGAATATTTTTTTGTCCTCTGCTTGATTAGAATATTTCTTTTTCATCAATTTGGGAATCAGAATATTTTTTGAAGAAAAAAAAAAAAATCCATCCTGCCTTTTGAAGTTCAATGATCTTTCCCGTAACATTTTCCATTGAACTTATAATTTTGTTTTAGACAAAAACTATATGTAGGACATTCGTCCTGAACATGCATGAAATATTTGCCACTGGACGTTAAGTAAACCAACAATCAATCAATATGTAGGACATAGTCTTGGTAAGCTGGCATTCAAGGTAGCGCCTTCCTCATTTTAAACAGTAACTTGAGCAAAGATAAAAATAACGTCAAGTCCCATCTGAAAATGAGTCGCCTTTCTATTTATTTTTGTACAGTGTAAATACGGAATTTCCTTATACTGGACCTACCTTTATGTATTTGTTGATGATTGTATTATGTTGTTTCAATCTCTATATATATTTATATTCAGTGAATAAGTTAACCTGGTCAAGTTTCTAGAGACTCAGAGTCTCTCTTTTTCCTTGTAATGTCCGCCATGTTTACTTGAGTCGCTTACCGTAAACCGTCAAAGTGCACTGTCGTGAACGGCGATATTACGTTGAAATAGAGTCTTTTGAGTCGCTTTTGACGTCAATACGAAAGTCTTTCAAGAGTTTTTGTTGTATATATATTGGACTGCTATTGAAAGCTTTAGTCGTGATCGGACTACCGTGGCAAAAGGTTGCTTACAATCACAAGCCTAAATATTAAAATCCTTTCGTCACTGTAGCTAACAATTTAAGCTTGCACTTTAAAAGGTTAGGAAATATTTTCTCAGAGTTTTACTTTATGTAAAACATAGATTTATAAGTTTCATATTATAAGAGACTCTAAAGATTAGACTACAAATTATATACTCAAAAGTACACAAAAAGTCGGAAAGATAAAGATATTTCATATTTTATACAGAGACTCAACGGCGCAGACTCGAGTCTTAAAGTCGCTATTCAAATAAGCCATCAACATAGTTTTTCTTCAAAGAAAGTTACAGTGATACTTGAAATACCAATAGTATAGAAATTATTATTATTAATTTCCAACGATTCTTTACATATTACGAAGTCGAATCTTCACAAAAGTACAGTAAAATCAGGAGTCGCAACTTACACATTTGAGAAGTCGACACAGCTTATATAATTATAGAGATTTCTATAATTACTTGTTAATAAGATTGTTTATTTAATACATGTGTATATAGAACTTGACCAGAGTTACTCACTAGCTTGCATACTATTAAAATGTTATTCATTGTATGTTGATCTCATGTAAAAAAATATAGTTTGCATTAATATTGAAAGTATCTGAATTACATATCTATAACTGATTATAATACTTCATTAAATCATTAACTTTATACGAATTGGTTATTTCTGTCTACTGAAACAACGCATCTCTAATTATATCTATTGGATTACGGGTTGAGTTGACCCAAGGGAGCAGTCATTTGAAATAGTATTTATTGCCGAGTATTAGTTTGTCTGACGGATTGTCTAGTTTTGCCAGTGGGTCATAGTTTCACTTCAGGGTAACGAAAACGCTATAGCAACACAGAGCGAAAACGTTACATTATTATACATTTATTTCCCGTGCCTGAGGGAGATATGAAGATTTGTTCACCCAAGAATATTCATATTTCACGAGTGCTTTGCTTTATCATCAGAAGCCAAGGGAAATGAATGTTTTATTCCATTGCCTATGCTTTGTTTACTACCTGAACATAAAATATTAGTTTACATGCATTTTTTTTCTTATCCGCTTGTTTTTATAACTAAACACGACATAAACATTGATAAACAGTACGGATCAAAAGTTAGTCTTTTAGTCTTTTTGTTTCAACGTCTGAAATAAATTTTGAACACTATAATGATTTTTACTATCGCTATTTGAAAAAAAAACGTTTTGTACATTAACCGTGCGTAACGTCGCCCGATGTAGTCCCGACATTTCAGAGGGGAATATGATACTCAGAAAGAATATGATTTTGTTCAATGACACGTGGGGTAGTCTCAACCAATCAAAAATTGATATAACTATCATTCTCTCAATTTTTGGACAGTTTGTATACTAAAATTTTAATAAGACGCACACTACCTATTCTTGGTCCTCATTCCTATCCACGTTAAATTTTCCACTTCAAAGCATTTTATGGAAGCGGGATCAATATATCAGTATTTATACATCAGACCGTACTGCATTGGTTACCGGAATTTTGGAAACACCAAACCAGGCAAACAGGCTATATGTGTCCTCAATTTTCAAGGGTCAATCTTTAAATATCTTTCAATTTTTGTTTTGAATTCGTTGTATTATAGATTTATATAAGTTCTTTCAATTTTTAACAACATTTTGGCGTATTTTCAAACATGTGACCAAATCATAAAGGTATAAAGATGCTTCAAAACAACAATTGAATTTGCATACTCAGAAAAAAATAGGAAGGGCATTGTTAACCAAAACCAAAATCTAAAATTACAAAAACATGAAAAATTTGCATTATAATCAACAGCAATATGTTTAATTTTATTTGCAAATTACACTCATATGGGTCAAGCAAAACACAAAATATATAGACAATAATAGTGCATTGACTTGACATATTAACGATATAAGGATGAGGCTTAGAAACGGGGAAATGCGAGGCTCTGCCGAGCTTTTTCCCCGTTTCGGGCCGAATCCTTATATCGTTGATATGTCAAGTCAATGCACTATTATTGTCTTTATACTGCAATCTAAAAAAAAACATTTTCAATTGTTGTTTAATGTGTTAATGTTATTATTTGATTTGAATATTTGGAAACTTCCCCTTTTATAAAAAGGCCTCATATCATGCAGTCGGAGAAATATACAACACAATGAAATGTACATTACCTGTTGAAACCCGCAATCGACGGTGAACGAATTTGTTTGAGAATGAACTAAAATATCAGCAATAAGCATAAAACAATGATTTATAGTTTGCAAACCAAAAAAATTAACAAGTGAAATGTTTTTTTTTCTAAAAATTGCAAAAGAAATAAGTTTGAGTCGTTGTATACATTGGAAACAAGAACAGGTTGAATAGGTCATATGAATAATTAATTATAATTTCGGCAATTTCTATTTAAATATTCATGAGGAAAAGTGATATCAGGTCAGTGACTGTATATGACATAGAAATATACGGTCAACGCATTTTGACTGCTCAAATAGAACGAGTGCAGTATAAAACACAGTATTAACACATCAGTCAAGAATTACAAGTATAAACATAAAACAAAAACATTTATGATAATGTATAACTTTTGATGGATCTGCACCTCATTTTCGCAACTCTAAAGATTTCTTTATAAAGTCACCAACTGCTGTCAAAAGTACAGATTCGGGATTTAAAATTTGTTTTAGCTTAAAAAGTGGTTGAGAATTTGTATTACCAGATTTTATATTATCGATTTTTTTTAAATAACTCATCTCTTAAAGCTGAGTTCAGTTTACAATCTTGAAAAAAATGGTATTATAATTCATCCTCAAGTTTATTCCAAATTTATATAACCTTTGGTCTCTGAGTATATTTCTTTATCTTCCCAATTCAACTTCTAGTTTATGGTCACTTACCCGAAATTAAGAGATTAACTGTCTGGTTTTAAAATTTAATTCTTTCAATAGGTAGTTCTCTATTTTTATTTGGCTATAAAGAAATAGTTTCGAACTGTCTGTAATAGAAGAAAGTTTACCTAGGACCTTTTTGTGAAGACTCATGTGATATAAACTTCATCGTTAAGGAATATTTAATTTTGCTATATGGTTTGCCATCAGTTTCAAAATCTGCAGCATCTAATCCTCTGTATCTTTTTAAAAATACATTTAGAGCAAAACTATACAAAATATGAATACCATCATCATGCAGCCACTTATTTAATTCATAGGCTTCTTTTAACATTGGGTTAATATCATGGGTATGAAATCTACAGATATATAACATAACTTGTGGGTTAATAAATGAAGCCATAGAAAATCTGCCCACTTCTGTTTTGGCTGAAATATTGCATGCAGGTTTTTTCAGTCTTAGAACAGATTTACAGTATTTATTATGAATTATTTCATAATAATATTCATTTACTAAAGACAAAGTATCACAAACAGAGCCATGTTGTTCTGAACGTTTCAAAGATTTAAAATTGAAAAATAATCTTCATATACCAGACCTCACTATCATATAATGAAAAAAAGTCTTACTAAGACATCAAATAATTTGCAAGATAAATTAACAGGGATATATTGAAAGTTTGAAAACCTACTTTTATATGCAAATAGGACCTTCAATCCTTTTTTTAAGAAAGTTCCTGGATAGCTCTTGTAAAATTTCCTTTATAGTTAATAACGTTTCCTAGAATATTGTATTCTTTAGTCTCATTTAATTGGATATTTTTATAAAATACCACCGGATTGGGATAAAAGTTATTCTGGAAAGTCATAACTTTGAGGTTTTTTTTCTCGTATTAACCATTATTAGTCAGTCATAGCAGTACTTCTCAAGTTTATTTATAGAATTTTGCAGTCCCATATGTGAACTTGACAATATTACAAAATCATCTGCAAAACTTAATCAAGACAGTCAAGATTTTTGAAGGCCTAAAGGTTTACAAGTTGAAAAGTTTTGTCAAAAACTGATGTATATCATATGCAGCAATTTTGTTTGTGAAATATAAATTGTGTATTTAAAGAAAACAAAACACACTGTAATTAACAAATTCTCTAAGAAGATTGACAAGAAATGACATGTTTTCAACAGACAGCTTGCGATTATCCTTAGAACGCACCGTTGATAATACCGGAAGCGGAAGTGTCAGTCGTTAGCAACATACCTTAACAACAACAGTTTAACAAGGGTATAACTGGCAAGACAAATAGCTACCAAATTATCAAACAAATAACAATGGCAGACACTCAGCAGGTAAGAAAGATATTAAATTTCACATAATGAACATAAAGAGACAATTTCCATGATATAGTACGACTTTTTCGCAAACTACAAATATGAATTGTTAGTTCAATAGTTGTCAATAAACACTAGTGACTACAGTCAGATAAACAGATATTTGTCTTAATATTTTTTTTATTTCAAAACCATATATGTTTGAAATACGAGGCAGGTGTAATCGGAGAAAGAGGACGAAGCCTGTTAGGTAGCCATGTAAAACAGACTTATTTTTTTTTTCAATATTATATTCGTACATTGTATGTCTCATAAATGGGTACTACAATTGTCATATCTGGGTCTTTTATAGTTGACAATGCGGTATGGGTTTTGTGCATTGTTGAAGGCCGTACAATGACCAATAGTTGTCTCATTGCCATTGGCAATCATACCACATCTTCTCATTTTTAAAACTATCGGCAAATAACAATTTCCCTGAGAATTTCAAACCTCCAAAAAAATTAAAATTACAATGATAAAAAAATCAATTTTATATTTCACCAAAGTTGTGCAAACATTCATTCCAATGGCATCATTTTTCCAATTAAGGTCCATTTTAACAAACAGACAAAAAATGGCTGTGTTAAAAACTCTTTAGAAGTACAGACAAAACTGTGTAGTTGGAAAAGTTTACTGTTACTTTAAGGTTAGGGTTCAATTATGGTAAGGTTTGGGAAAGTTTTTAGTGTAACGGTTAAGTAAGGAACTTGTGATGTTCTTTTGAAAACTTCACACCAGAAACAAATGGCATACATTTGTACGTTTAATCATCATGGGCAGTCATGAATGTGTGTTCTATTAAGCGAAACTACCCTAAACCTTACCTTTATCTAAAACAAACCCTTACTTAATTCTAAAACGTACAAGGACTGACTCGGGACTACTAAAAGTATACTATCCATAGTTCTGATTTTTTTTTTTCTGCTTCCTTCTGTTTTATGATATTTTAATTTGCAAGAATATTCATCATAATGAATGTGGGCAGTATTTGAAGAAGAAGATATCAGTTTTATTTTTTTGCTAAATACATTGTGTGTTGAATCTCGATACATTTATAAAATGCATGTATGGGATCACATTTCCTTCCTAACAAACAGTTTTAACAGAACTGAATTTTTGTTTGTTTGATACTTTTATAGTTGAGAATACATCAGTAAGTGAAAAATATTTTAGTGTTTTCTTTTTTTCAGGAGGCTGTAAATATAGGCCCTGGAGGTGTTCCAGAAGGAGCAAAAACTTCAGAATACTACAAAACAGATGAACATTTACCACAGAGATTTGACAATCCTGGTGAGTAAATACATATTACAATGGCTGCCCATAATGAAAAAAGAGAAATGTTATTTAAAAAAAAAACACAAATAGTAAATGAAAATAATACTGATATAAGGTTGGGTCAAGGAATTTATAAGTGTCTGTTAAATTTTATGATAATTCTAAACATATAGTTTTTATTAATGTTCATGATGAATAATTTAATTTTGGATGTAACACGTCTTCTGATTGGCTGGCGTTGTTTTGTTTATTAGCTCATAGACATAATTTTGTCATGTGACCGTGACGTCATCAACGTTTTTTCATGGTTTACTCCGGTTTAAAATGGGATTTAGAATTAAATTATAAGAAATGACTGTAATATTTTTTCTGTCTATTCGAAATAACATAAAAAATGTGGTGCACACTTTAAAATAACCTGCTACGCGGGTTATTCATTGTGCACCACATTTTTGATGTTATTTCTTCATAGACAGAAAAAATATTACTGTCATTCCTTAAATAAATATCAGAATAATTTGGCAAAAATATTATAAATTCTGTTACCATAAATATAGATTTTCTGTGCAGTCAAGATGTTTTGGTGTTTACCCCAAAAAGTAGCAGTTAAATTTTGGTATGTCTAAATTTACACTTCGGTTTTATACCAAGAATTGAAGATACATTTTTGGCAAAATTGAATTAATTTTTCTATTAGTTGTTGATGAAAAGTTTATACATGTATATAGAATATATATTGACACCTAACATAAGATGAATTAAAAAATCATCAAAGACAAACAATATTATGATAATTAGAAAGATAAATCTAAGAAAATAAAAAATTGTCATCATAATTTCTATTAATTGATTAAAGTGTTGTTACAATAATCTTCATGTATGATCATGTATAAATCAGCAGGTCACTAATTGTTACACCATTGTATGCTTTGATCCTTCTTGCTATTATATGTAATTGTGTAAAGTTAATTAGTGGTAATTGTTTTCACCCCGATTAAATTAACTAAAATATCATTTAAATGTAAGTGTTTGGTATTACTATAAATTTTCACTTAGTAATATGAACATCAAAATTATTTATTTTGTAAAAATATTTCCTTTCTCTATTTGAACTGTACACGTATACCTAACAACAAAATTATTTTCATTTACCTGTGTTTAAAGTTAATGCAAATGACTGATATTTTTATTCGAGCATATTGTTTTTCTTAAATTGTTTAACATTTCATAGCGGCATAACATGTTACTTTTATTATTCTTCCCTTAGTTTATTTATTTTGTGTTTACATTGTATCATAGATCAAATTTATTTGTTCAGTATATGTTCACTGGTGTTAATATGTCCTTTGATTGAGTTAAGCCATTTCAGTTGGTATTTTATAGTGTGTCTTTCTATGTTGTGATGTTACACTATTGTTTCAGAAAAAGGGTGAAGGTTTGGTACTATTAAAACGTTTAAACCCGCTGCAATTGTTTGCATCTGTCCTAAGTCAGAAATCTGATGTTCAGTAGTTGTCGTTTATTGATGTGGACCATAAGTGTTTCTTGTTTCTCGTTTTTTATATAGATTAGACCGTTGGTTTTTCCGTTTGAATGGTTTTTACACTAGTAAATTTTGGGGCCCTTTATAGCTTGCTGTTTTGTGTGAGCCAAGGCTTCTTGTCGAAGACCGTACTTTGTCCTATAATGGTTTACTTTTATAAATTTTGACTTGGATGGAGAGTTGTCTCATTGGCACTCATACCACATCTTCTTATACAATGTATCTATTTCAATTATAATAACAATTTTTCACTTATGGTTATAACTTATCTTTCATTTATCTTTATGGTCAGCTTTATATATTTTGGTGTGATTATAGGGAAACAAAATATGACTGCAGCCAAAATATCCAAAATTCACAATTTTATAAGATTGCAATGTTCTCTATAATTTTAATATAAAAAATTCCTGTTCCAGTATTTCATATTGATAAAGTTAAAAATATAAAGAAATTTATGAAATTTTTCTTATTGTTTATAGGATGGTTCCAAGGTTATGGAGGTAAACAACAACATCCAATGTATAGGACTAGTGGTCAGGACTATGGAGCACGGGTGCCAACAGTACACAATATGCCTAAAAGTTTTCATGGTCGCACACAAAAATTCTCAAATGTAAGTTTCTCAGTTGATCATATTACAAAATCTAAAACTTTGTGTCATGCTCCAAGGTCATGGAATGAGTGACTTTACAGCATAAAAGTTTTTGTTTATTTTTATTTCAAACAATCTGAAAATTTTATATTTTAAGTATTAATAAAATGCTTCGCTGAGCACAGCCTGATACGACCGCAGAGGTCGAACCCTGAAGTTGGCCTGAACAGTTGGGGCCAATTTGGATATAATATTCAAGCTTGATACTGTCTGAATTTTGATTGTGATCAAATTTTTGACATAATATAGGTTTCTGACACAAAATAAATGTGGTAAAAGATCTTATAAATCTATTGGGCAATACTGTGCAATTGAAGATTACTTCTTGAAACTTTTACAAAATTTGAAAATTTTTGAAAAAAATATGAATTCCTTAAAAAAAATTTGCGACTTTTGGAATCCCCCTTGGAGCAATTACCCCAAGACTCGATCCAATTCTTTCCTTTGTAGTATGGAACCTTGTAGTACAATTTCAGAGAGATCCATACACATCTAACACAAGTTATTGTTTGGAAACTAGAATAATGCATGTTTTTGGCCCTTTTTTGGCCCCTTATTCCTACATGTTTGAGGCAATTACCCCCAAACTCAATCCCAGCCTTCCCTTTGTGATATGGAACCTTATGGTACAATATCAGAGAGATCCATACACTTATAATTACACACTTGTAAGTTATTGTCCGGAAACTACAAAAATTGTTGTTTTTGGTCCCTTTAAGGCCCTTAATTCCTAAACTGTTTGCCCCATAACCCCTAATATGAATCCCAACATTTTACTTGTGGTATAAGACATTGTTGTACAGTTTCAGCAATCGAAATACTTATACACAAGTTATTATCCTGAAACTAGAAAAATGTTTGTTTTGGGCCCCTAATTCCTAAACGGTTGGGACCATCATCCCCAAAATCAATCCCAACTTTCCTTTTGTGGTATTGAACCTTCTTAAAAAATTTCATAGAGATCCATTAGCTTAAACTAAAGTTATTGTCCGGAATCCAATGTGTCTTCTGACGACGACGTAGACGATGCAGACATCATACCATCCCAAAAAATTGTTTGCGGTCATATAAAAACCTTATGATTCAACAGTCTAGGAATGATTCTTCAGTAAACTTTAAAGTACATTCAACAAATACTTCACATTATCAGTTCACTGACTTTTTCTTGACAAAAGTTCATTTAAAATTGACAAGCAGTTGTATGCAATATCATACAAATTATACTACTTGTTCCTGACATAGTCACATTGATGAAAAATTAAAAATATATAAGTCCTGACCCATTTGGTTTCTGGAGTGGGGGGGGGGGGGGGGGGGGCTTGTTTAAAAAAAAGTAATCTGGCTTACATTTTGATAAAAAAAAATTAATCTGGCTTATTCAGTTGCAAAAAAAATATTCTAGCTTCTTCTGCAAGTATGACATGTATGATGTAAATTTTATTGAAAAAACAATTTTCTTGCTTTGATTTGACTGAAAAAAATATTCTTGCTTGGTTTGCATGGTCAAAATAAATCTGGCTTGATATGAAATCCCTTTATTTTTCTCATCATAAAATTCCAGACCAAATATTGAACCATTCCTAAGTACACATGTTGAATCTTATGTAACAAAAGTTACACAGACGGTCAAGGTGATTCCTTGTGTTGGGGTATAACATTAGAGAGATAACACATCATGCAAATTATTATTTCTAAAGAAAAAATTACCAAAAACTTTTTGATTGAAATCTTTTAACGCTTGTTCAGAGTTAAATGAGTTACTGGGTAAACAGCGATGTTCAGAAGTTGCTAATGAGATAACTGTCAACCAAAGATAAAGAATGAATATTTGAATATCTACTTATGTACATGTATACTGCAAGGACTGATGACTATTAAAAAATCGCAATTTATTAGTTTCTTTTATTTCCCAAAATTATTATTGTTTTATATTTATCATTTTCAGCATCTAGGAAAATGTGGAATGTACAGGAACCACTCAATGAACACTGCCTTGGACCAAAGTAAAGTGTGATCATACTTATTCTAGATAGTTTTGTGACACTGTAAAAAATGTTGTTATTGAAGTGAAAATGCTATTTTGAATGAAAGGTGTATGATAATGTGTGTGGAAGAAACAGAAACAACAGTGTATGTAAATATTCCTTAAAACCCTGGACAATAACATCATGTTGGAATCATTTAAATTCAAAAGAGAATACTTCTCAATAAATGTATGTACTTTGTCAGTTATATACTTTGTGATGTTTTCTGTATTGTTGTCTGGTATATTTTACAAAACCAAATAAAATTGAAAAAAATAACCTAATTTTGTCATTTCATTTGTAGTCTACTGCGAAAATGTTAATTCCATTATCACAAAGTGAAAGGGTTTGCATTATAAACAGCTTTGTTTATTTAAAACTTTGTAGTTTTTTGTTTTGCTTCCTAGATTTAATCAACAAGAAGTTTAAGACCCATGTTTGTATGTCATCATACACATCTTTGGTAATAACAAAAATTAAATCATGTGATATACACAAATTTTCAGTTTGTTTTTCATCTGATTTTGAATAATGTATCCAGGTTTTTACTTTAATTAACCAGTGACCTGTATAAATAGATACATCCTTTTAGTGTTGAAAATGTAAATGGAAATTGAACCATCTTGACCTTCATTATATGCATGAATGACATGTAGCATTAAAATTTACATAAGAACAGAATACATTAAATAATAACAGGAATCACCCAAAATACTGGATACCACATAAGATTGCTTCAACAATCAACACAAGACTCGTGTGATAAAAAAACAACATACAAACAACAGCGAACCATGCACGGTCTAGATAGCCTGACTTGGTATAGGCACAAATTGTGTTTGGGTTAAACCAGTTTTTATTTGCACACAAACCTCTATCACTACCTACCTAGACCCTGTGTCATAAAAACTAAAACATAATAAATAAACTGCTTCGCTGAGCGCAGCTGGATACTCCCGCAGAGGTCCAACCCTGAACAGTTGGGGCAAAAATGGACACAATATTCAAGCTTGATACAGGTCTGAATTTGGATTGTAATTAAATATTTGACATATAATAGGTTTCTGAATAGATGTAGTCAAAGAACTTGAAATTGTTTATATGACTTTATATTCAATTAAAGATTTCTTGCTGTTGTACAATACACTGTGCTGTTGCGCAATACTTAGTAAATCTGTTGTCAGACTATAAACAAATAAAATCTTATAACACGGAAACGTAAAATTGAAAATTTATCAAAATCAAAAGGGAGCTTACATCAATAGATATAAACAATTTACCAAAGTTTCATAAAAAATGCTTTCAGCATTTTTGAGTTATTGTCTGAAAACTGGAAAATCCCCCTTTTTGTAATGAAAAAAAACCCATAAATCAGAAACTAAAATTTGGAATTGAAATTCAGAAAAGTATGAGCCCAAAAAAGAAACAACTTTATATTTTATGAGATTATGTATATAGCTAAAATGAAGCTTCTGTACAATTATTTTGTTGTTGTTTCTTGGCCGAGCATGTATTCATACAGAAAATTTGGATGGAAAACAGCATAAATTCAGCAGATTTCTTTGTTTTCATGTCAGACTTTATTGTGAATAACATAAAGAAACTTGTGTAATTAATATATATTTTTTTATCATATGTATTTCCAATCATAATGATCAAATTAGAATTGGCCCTCAAAACCTTTAGTTTCTTGGGCCAAAAAAGAATTTTAATGGCCGTGCTCCTTTGTGTTAGTATGATAGCTACTTTTGAAGCTAGCCCATTGATAAACCTATGATTTCCTTTTTTGGGTGACCAAGTTCTGATTGCAATAGAACTTAATTTTAACTACCATAACATATATGAAAGGCAATGTGGGGTATACATCAATGAAACGATGTATGTTTATATTATCTCTGCCTATAACAAGAATACTTTTTAATATATATTTATTACAAATTTGGCATCACAACATTTACAAACAAAATTCAGTCTCAAAGCTTCGAATTGTCTGACAGTTGAATCAAGATTACAACTGTATACAGTTGAACCACATCATACTGAAATTGAAAAAGCCAATAATATTGCAACTACTTTGATTTGATGAACCTCAGGAGTATTAGTTTTTAAAAAGCCCAAAACTAAAAATATTAGTATATATCTAGTTGCCATTCGTGAAAACGAAGAAAGCTGACAGAATTCACTTAGATTTGCGTGAGTGGGATTTCATGACAATGTAGCACTAAGCATTTGCTTGGTACAATGAATTAGACGGAAAACTAGGCGGTCCAAAGTCTTCGGCTATAGCATTCATTGAATTGTCAATCAATTGATTCTGAACACTTGAACTAAGAATATTACGGCGATCAAAATGTGTACTGTCATAACTTCCCACAAAACTATCTGTGTCGTCTGCTTTCCTGTTGGCAGCATATGGCATACTAACATTGTCATCTTCTGCTACTTCATCTTGTTGATTTTTATAGGAAAACAATATTCTTGTCTGAGATGTTCTGAAAGGTGTAAATGTTAATCAATTATGTATATATCTACCGTAATTATAATATCCCATAGGTATAAAATCGCATTAATTATTTATTCATATTGCATTTTCATATAAAATAAAAAAGATATTCATTAATAAATTTGTGTTCAAAGATTCCTTCTATCCAAAATGTCTGCCAGTTTCAATCTTTCATGGATAATAATTGGCAATTTTGTGAATTATTATCATTCTACAAAACACTATAAAATTAAATTAGTTTAGTTGACCACAACTACCTCCAACTTTTCAAAACTTGAAGACATGCCAAGGAATAATTTCCATAACTACACCAATAATATTAAAAATATAATCTAGTGTGGAAATACTTGTATCTTTGGAATCGTAATCTTTGTGAACTTACTTTTACAGGCAAACCATGAATACAAACTTGTATTTGCTCGATAGAGAACAATAACAAATCTACAAACTTGTTTAACACCAACTTTACTATAAAAATTAATGTATTTTAAGTAATTTCATGTGATAATATTTCTTAGGTTAATTGCAGTTAATACTATGGAAAATAATCCATATTAGACTTTGATGAGGTTTTGCAGTTCAACATACCTCAAAAAATTATGCAGGAACACCACATAGACTAGAGGTGCAAAACAGGTGAAATAAATGTAGGCAGTCAAATCAACCACACTGAAATATTGTAAAGACATACATATATATATATATATATATAATTTATTTGTTTCAAATACATATCAAATCAATACATTATGCTGCATTTAACTGCATCAAATGTTAACTAAAAGAGGTAGAGGCTATACAGATCAAAGTGCAAAAATTTAAATATGTTATACAATAAACAGATCTTTTAAATTAATTGTATGGTGTACTACTATTGGAATTGTCTTTGCATAATATGAATTCCCCTACATGTATGTATTTCCTATTTTGTAGAACAAGGGTATTTTGATTGCTGTCATATTTGGTTATCTGGTGCCTGAGATGGAAGGACCAAAATCAAGCACACCATGATGAAACATCCCCTCCCCCCCAAAAAAAAATTTTAAAAAAGAAATAGTGACAGTTTTGTTACCAGTCAGTAGTATGATGCGATTCTTTCAATTTTCACAGCCATAATTTATCATTTATTAAAATATGCTATACTTAAGCTAAAGTTAACAAGTTGAATTACTAATATGTATCAAACAACAACATTTAAAGACACAAATATTCATAAAGATACATTTATACATGAGAAAATATTAAACCTACCACATGCCATTCATTATATTACCATACAACAAGCCACTTCCAACAGCCTGTGTCAGGTTTAACGTAGCAAGAAAAAAACAGTACCAATAAAAAGATTTCTTTGCTGAAATAGAAATTGTTATCAATGAATAAATTTGAAGTACTTACTATTTTGTATACATATATCTTAATTCAAATCCCACTGTATATTTCTTATTTATAAATAATTAAACATGCAGAAAAAATTAAAAATATAATGGACACTGAATCTGATGTTTTACATTTCCAAGATACAATAAATGAATATTTAAAATAAAACTTTTCCTTACAATTATTCTACATGAGCTGTATAAAGGAAACCATCTTTACCAGTTTTCATTCATTTATTATCAAATAAATTATTAAAAGAAATGCATCTTGAATACATGTACTTACGTGGAAGAGCCAGCTTCTCTTTCAACGAAGTCCAAGGTAAAATAAATATACATGTATACACCTTTAAAAGAAATAAAAGGTCAAAAATTAATGAGAAAGATTTTCTCCTGTATAGTAAATATAGTTATACCTAATTTTTTAAATAAGTACTGTGAAAGAAATTCTATTACACTGCATGAAAACCTTGTTGTTTAGGGAAAATAAATATTTATCAGTCGCTAGTTCTTTAAAATGTTGCTTAAATAGCAAGCTTTTTCATACTTTAAAATTTTATTTAAAATAACTGATGGTATGCATTGCCCGAATTTAACTTATATACCAATATATACTTTGTATGCACTTCTGTACTTTTAAAGTCATGGTGTATTTATTCCTGAGATAACTTCTCTTATGTGTGCCACATCATTCTCTCTATTTGAGGCCAGTTTGTGTACTAAAATTTAAATAAGACCACCTATTCTTGGCCCCCATTCCTATCCACATTAAATTTTTCACTTCCACACATTTAGGGGGGGGGGGGGGATCAATACACTATTATTTACACATCAGACCGTACTGGTTACTGGAACTTTGGATACACCAAACCAGGTTCTTCATATCTTAGAAACAGGCAATATATGCTCTCAATTTTAGAATTCATTCATACATTTTTGTATTATTCAAAATTATCAGTCAATATGTGTTCTACAAGGATCACCAGTCCTTCACCTTTCATTTGATACCATGATTACTAAAATATATTCTACATAGTTTGATATTTACACCTATGCGTAAAAACCATTTTGTTTTAAATATGTACTACTTTCAAGTATGTTCTTTTTTGACCGGACCTGATTTTGGTGGTGTTACATCTTACAAAGTCTATCAGAATCATTTTGCAATAAATTCTGCTCAAACCAGTGCTAGAGGCCGCCTTAAACTTGCAGTGAGGTGAGAGTTCTTTTCAGGCTCCTTTTGAAGACCTCACTGTGACTTTGAGATGAAGAACAGCAATAAAAGCGCTGTTCCTTTTCTTTTTATGTGTTTTTTGCTGTGCATGTACCGATTTTGTGTCATGTATGGATACCCATATCCTTTGTTTTTCTATTATATATACTTTTTTCGAAGTACATGATTGATTGTTGTTTAACACCATTTTCAGCACTATTGGCTATGAAATGGTGGCTAGTTTTTATTTATAGAATAGGTATTAGAAGTACAGCAGACAATTTTAAAGTGTTAGAACTAAGAAGCCTTAACTATTAACACAGATAAAGTGTCCTTTTACTGCTTTATTTCACTGTAATTTCTTTTCAATTCAGTTCAATATGTATTTTTATAGCAGGAGGGCATAATGATTTTTCCAGTCTGTCTCATAATAATATTATGGTTGAATAAAGTTTACCATGAAGTTGTGGTCAGATCAACCTGAAACTTAGTACACATGTTCCTTATGATATGAACTTTTTGAAATGTAGGTCAAATTAGGGTTTGGACCCAGGTAGTTCACTAAACATAATGCAAACATAGCATGGTGTTTATTGACTCATATTCTCGTTAACGTTATTGTATGTTTTTCATCAAAAATTTGCACCTGTCCTAGTTCGGGAACCTGTTGTTCAGTGGTTGTCGTTTGTTGATGTGGTTCATAAGTGTTTCTCGTTTCTCGTTTTTTATATAGATTAGACTGTTGGTTTTCCTGTTTGAATGGTTTAACGCTAGTCATTTTTGGGGCCCTTTATAGCTTGCTGTTCGATGTGATCCAAGGCTCCATGTTGAAGGCTGTACTTTGACCTATAATGGTTTACTTTTACAAATTGTGACTTGGATGGAGAGTTGTCTCATTGGCACTCATACCACATCTTCTTATATCTATTATGTTTTATATAATGTTGAATATAACCAAACACTTTAAATAAAATGCTCCGCTGGGCGCAGCTTGATACGACCACAGAGGTCGAACCCTGAACAGTTGGGGCAAGTAGGGACACAACATTCAAGCTTGATACAGCACTGAATTTGAATTGTGATTAAATATTTGACACAGCATAGGTTTCTGACACAGAATGAATGTGGTCTAAGAACTTAAAAAATTTTAATTTACCTATTCAAACCATATCATTATTTGCTTTTATATATAAATCAGAAATAACCAATTTAAAATGGAAAATTTTAAAGAAAAAAAAAGGAAAAAAAGGAAAAAAAAATCCCTCACCCAATTTTTTTTAACCCCCTTATGATTCATCACCCCCTAACTCAATCCCAGCCTTCCCATTGTGGTATGGTACCTTGCAGTACAATTTCAGAGCGATCCATACACTTGAACACAAGTTATTGTCTGGAAACTAGAAAAATGCTTGTTTTTAGGCCCCTTTTTTGCTCCAAATTCTTAAACGTTTAGGGCAATTACCCACTAAATCAATTCTAGCTTTCCCTGTGTGAAATGGAAACTTGTAGTACAATTTCATAAAGATTCATACACTTACACACAAGTTATTGTCCTGAAACTAGAAAAATGCTTGTTTTTTGGCCCCTAATTCCTAAAATTTTGAGGCAATTACCCCCAAAATCAATCCCAGCCTTCCCTTTGTGGTATGGTACCTTGCAGTACAATTTCAGAGAGATCCATACACTTGAACACAAGTTATTGTCTGGAAACTAGAAATATGCTTATTTTTGGCCCCTTATTCCTAAACGTTTTGGGCAATTACCCCCAAACTCAATTCTAGCTTTCCCTTTGTGATAAGGAACCTTGTAGTACAATTTCAGAAAGATCCATACACTTACACACAAGTTATTGTCATGAAACTAGATAAATGCTTGTTTTTTGCCCCTTTGTTGGTCCCTAATTCCTAAAATTTTGAGGCAATTGCCCCCAAAATCAATTCCAGCATTCCCTTTGTGATATCGAACCTTGTGGTACAATGTCAGAGAGATCCATACACTTACACACAAGTTATTGTCATAAAACTAGAAAAATGCTTGTTTTTTGCCCCTTTTTGGCCCCTAATTCCTAAAATTTGGAGGCAATTACCCCCAAAATCAATCCCAGCATTCCCTTTGTGATATGGAACCTTGTGGTACAATGTCAGAGAGATCCATACACTTACACACAAGTTATGTCTGGAAGTTACAAAAATGCTTATTTTTGGCCCCTTTTTGGCCCCTAATTCCTTAACTGTGGGTACCATAACCCCCAAAATCAATCCCAACCTTCTTTTTGTGGTATTGAACCTTATGGTAAAATTTCATAGAGATCCATTCACTTAAACTAAAGTTAGAGTGCGAAAACTATGACGCCACCGGAAGACGATGACGACGACAACGCCAACCTCATTCCAACATACGACTGCAAAAATTTTGGGGTCGTATAAAAATAATTCATTAAAAGGATATCAGGAATACCAAACATATTCTATGTAGCACAACACAAACTATCAATATCAAGTAAGCAGACATACACACAAAGATAAACACATAAAGCAAGCCACTATAGTTTGCTATATTTGACATACTTAATGTTGATAGCAGTATGATGACATTAAAGTGTTCTTTTTTTCTTAAGGGTATTAGTGTTTTGGGGTTCTGTTAAAATGATGTTACTCTTCTGTTTAAATCTTATTTGCAATGTTTACCAATCTTTTATTCATAAAACTAACTAGATGTATTGTCTTACCACAAAAAAGAATAATGAACTAGTCAGCCAAAAGATCATGCCTCCATGTCCAAATATATCATAGTCTATTGCTGTGACATTTATGCCTTGACCTGGTTTCTGGACATGGAATTTAGGATCCGGATTTGTGAATTCTAGTGTACCCTGAAATATATACAACAAAACAGTACCGTATTTGAAATGATTAAGCATAAAGACAAACAAGAATTTCAGACTGTTTTCAACAATAACTGAAATGAGAATGCAACAGACCCCTTTTTCTATCATTTTCTTTTGTGAAAACTGTCTAAAAAATATTTCAACTTTTATTCAAGTTTTGTTTTATTTATCATATTAAAACATAAAAATTATCAATTTCAAGGAACTTCAGTCAAAGGATCATGACTTAGAAAATCAAATCAAATGGTATCAATCTGTATTTGCACCATACTGTATTTCATGAAAAATAAATTCACCATTTTGTAATCTTAAATTTTGGTTTTTTTTGCAACAATCAAGACAGTCACACTCTTAATGTTAATTGACTTCAGAATGTACATGTTATACCTGTGTAGTAGAATAAATCAAAGCAATACATGTAGTTGCTAGCAAAACTCTCTGAATACTTTTATTACTGTCTAGATGACCTGAAAATGAAAAGTAACTACATATAATACATGTATCTATAAGCAAACACACACAAATATTCATTATTAGTTGAGGTTGATTTAAAAGATCAATATAGATAAGTACATGTACATTTGTATATAAAAACCTTCCAGAGACTAAAACTGTACCATTCCTGAACGTTAATAGATTGCAACACTATTAAACATATATTAATTGTTAATACAATTTATGTTTACATTTTGCTTTAAAAAGACTAGATTGTTACTTTTTGATTTAATTTGATTGAACAAACCATCTTTCAATGCTGAAACAAATTTCCATTTCAAGAGTAAATAATATAAAGTGGAAACTAACTACAAATATATTTTCTCATTTTTAATTCCTAGTCATGAATTTACATCTTTATTATATACATGTATAATCAAACTATAACATCAATTGTTGTCCGTATTTTTATGTTGTTTTTTTTCAGCATAAAGATATAAGAATATGGAGTTTACTTACCAAATGCAATTCCAAATATTACAATGGACATTTCCATTGCCAATAGAAAAAATCTTAGTATCAACCATATTGCCTGCCAAAAGAAATATCTTATTTGAGTCTTGTACATTTTTCAAAATGACTGCACATTGATATGAAAATGATTGAGTTATCTCCCTTTTGTGATTTTTTTCAATGAGTTCCAAAAAATTCATCTCTAATAAACAGTTAAACGGAAACAAAGCCAAGTTCTAATAACCATTACTTTTCCATCCTCCACATTAAAATAACAATAATAGCAACAACTACTGTGAGCTATTCCAAACTACATGCACTACCAGTAGTTATACCCCTGACCAATAATAAAAATGTGACGAAATTTCATATACATGTATATGCATGACATTTTAAAGTTTTGGATAACAGGAAGTAGAACATTGAAGGAATTGAAAGCGTGTAAAGTTTTACAACGTAAGCAGACGAACTTGGTGCCAAACATCAAGAAGCTATGACTTATAGCTGCTGCAAAGATATGACTAGAAAAATGTGTTTATAAAGATAGACAGGCACACTAAATAACAGAGCTGTATGGCACACTAAATGACAGAGCTGTATGGCACACTAAATGACAGAGCTGTATGGCACACTAAATGACAGAGCTGTACGGCACACTAAATGACAGAGCTGTACGGCACACTAAATGACAGAGCTGTAAGGCACACTAAATGACAGAGCTGTACAGCACACTAAATGACAGAGCTGTACGGCACACTAAATGACAGCTGTACGGCACACTAAATGACAGAGCTGTACAGCACACTAAATGACAGAGCTGTATGGCACACTAAATGACAGCTGTACGGCACACTAAATGACAGAGCTGTACAGCACACTAAATGACAGAGCTGTATGGCACATTAAATGCTGTACAGCACACTAAATGACAGAGCTGTACACTTCGTTATTCTGTACAACAAAATAAGATTTTCTGCTTGATTCCAATAAGATAGATTAGTACCTAAGATAACAAGTAACTGGTTAGTTCAAATAACAGAAAGAAAAATTTAAATACTACAAATATCTACTTCTATATAATTGTAACGTAGGGAAACACCAAAGTACCTAGTTCAAAAGTTTAAATTGATATCTGATTATAATCCTAATCTTTAAGAGATGTTACACACGGTATAAATCTGATAGTTCCTAAGCCAAATGCTGAGCTGTTAAAGAAATCTTTTGTTTATTCTGGACCAGTTGTATGGACTACCATATAAAATGTGTAAAGTCCAAAACATTTTTACTTTTAAACAAAGTATAAAGAAGTACTTGACACAGTCATGATAAGTTTCTGTTTTTTACAATGTATTATTTTGATTTGTATATTATTTTTTTTTTTTACTACAAGTACCTCTAACCGTTTCATCTTTTATAATGATATATTGAACTATGAACTATTTGATTGTAAATTAACTACCAGTATGTGTAAATATCTGTTTTGATTGTATTGTAAATTGTATGTGAGGGCCTCAGGGAAGATGAATTTGTTGTAACTAACTGTGTTAACCCTCTATAAATAAAAAAATTATTATTATTATTTTTATAAGAACACAATTGATTTTTATCCTAGGTAAACACATACTCTTTTATACAGCATAATATGTACAAATATATTTAATTTTATTTCATTCAAAGCTGATTTATACTTTTCCACACAATTTGTTTTTTGTTTTTGTTTATTATCAATGAGCTGTTCACTTCTAGATCTGATAAGAAAAAACAGAAAAAAATGTGAAAGTTAGTACAAAAAATCATGAAAAAATCATTATAAAAAAATTATTTTGAAAACCAGAAAAAATTGTTATGACATGTTTTGACCTCTTACAACTTGAAAATGTAAGGGCTTGTAAATTCTTAGAAAAGATAAAGGGGAGATCATTCAAACTTTGAAAAAAATTAAAATCTTATGAATTTATTTATACAGGTAAATATTACTTACATCTTGAAGTGAATAAACATGACTTGCATAAGAATTACCCCTTACTGTTAAACTGATATAAAAAAAGGTCTACAGTGTATGTAAATATAAGTATACCTTGTCTGCATTATCTCCAGCAGGGTCTGCAGCATTTACTGTCATTGCTACAATACATCTTAACACACTAATAATGGCTACTGTTAGGACCTGGAAAATAAAATAATGTAACCATACATCATAATACTCTGATAAGGACTATTGTCAGAACTTTAAATTTAATAAAAGAACAGAGTTCCAATATCCCCTGCGTTGCACATATTTTATCTATCCAAGGTACAAGGGCAATAACTAAAAAAAGTACTTTTTTTTTGTTCTTTAAAACTTTTTATTAATATCTTAAGAGAAATGAAGGCTTCAGAGCAAATGCAATGTGATTTCCATTAAAATTTATATTTCCAAGGGGCATAACTCGTTAAAAATATTTGATCAGGACTAATTTTCAAAACTGTCAAAGACATTGCTGATATAAACCTATGATATAAGTTTCATAAAATTCTGGCAAGAATTGAACACATGAGAGCGATAACATTGCAATTTTCCATATAATCAATATTTTTAAGGGGCATAACTCTTTTAAAAATAATTGTTTGGCACTGATTTTTAAATTCGTCCAAGACATTGCTAATATTAACCTATGATTTAAGTTGCATAAAATTCTGGCAAGAATTGTACATGAGAGCGCTAACAATGCAATTCTCCATATAATTTATTTTTCCAAGGGGCATAACTCTTTTAAAAATAATTGATCGGCACTGATTTTCAAACTTGTCCAAGACATTGCTGATATAAACCTATGATATAAGTTTCATAAAAATCTGGTAAGAACTGAATTAACACATGAGAGCGCTAACGATGCAATTTCCATAAAACTAATGTTTCCAAGGGGCATAACTCTTTTAAAAATAACTGATCGGCACTTATTTTCAAACTCGTCCAAGACATTGCTAATATAAACCTATGATATAAGTTTCATAAAAATCTGGCAAGAATTGTTTATGTGAGAGCGCTAACAAGACCCTATGGATGTACGCACAGAGGGACGGATGGACAGATGAACGGACAGTCGGACGCCCGGTATTTTCATGTCCCCCACAATGTGTTACGCGAGGGACAAAAATACTACCATGAAACATTGAAAGACAATAACAACAGCCACTTATTGATAGAATGTTTGTTTGCTTAAAATCATGAAGAATATTTTTCATGCATAATAATAATTTTTTGAAGCAGAGATATGTCTCGCCTGATTTTGATAGTATAATGACAAATGTTAAATCTAAAATGGCAATACTTTATCATGTTAACTCTGTAAAACATTCAAAGTAAATGAACCAAGAGCCAAATAACCTCTGTGGAAATGAAAAATGTCAATGCTAATACAACTGCATACCAAATACCAGAGACTTATCATAAGTGGTTCCCTTTAACTTACCTAAACACAAACTTTAACATATACATTGCAAAAGTTTCAAAGGCAATGCACATTGATGAGGGGAAGGGCTATATAATATCCATGGAAATGGTAATATAACAGCATACAAAATATCTTTGACTAAAAATTTGTGGTTCATCTTAAGCTGACCTTTTTTTCATAAACTAATATATGTAGACTAAGCAAAGTTTCATAGTCAATAGACCATGACTGATGGAGGGCGGGACCAAATAATCTCCATGGAAATGCTAATGCAACTGCATACCAAAAACATGTATCATTGACCTACCACTAGTAATTCCCTTTAAACTGATCTATCACCTTATCACAAACTAAAACCTTTTTGACACCTCTGCTGCTGCTGCATGAAACAGCACTCCTAACTCTAGCTTTTTCAACCTCATCAAGGCAAGACAAAAACTAGAGGCTCTCAAGAGCCTGTGTCACTCACCTGATTCTACTTTGGTTTTGGAAATCATGTTAAAATAGATTAAAATCATAACAGATACCCTAATAATGAGTGAGGCCAAATTTGGTTTAATATTGGCCCTGTAATTTAATAAAAAAATCCTGGTGGCCATCTTGAACAGTAAATCAGCAACAAAGTAGCAACACTTCATCAACACCTCATAAGAAACATTTATGCCATGTTTGGTTTCATTCCATTCAGTGCACCTCTAAAAGAAGCATTTGTAAGTATTTCCAATAGGGTCTTATGTTAAAGGAAGTCCCCACGCTGGCAGCCATCGTGGATGAAGGATCACCTTCAAAGTAACAACACTTGGTCAGCACCTCATAAGGAACAATCATGCCATGTTTGGTTTCAATCCATTCAGTGGTTCTCTAAAAGAAGACATTTGTATGTATTGTCCATAGGGTCCTTTGTTAAACACTGTCCCCAGCTGGTGGCCATCTTGGATGATGGATCGGCTTCAAAGTAACAACACTTGGTCAGCACTTCATAAGGAACATTCATGCCATGTTTGGTTTCATTCCATTCAGTGGTTCTCTAAAAGAAGACATTCGTATGTATTTCGCATAGGGTCCTATGTTAAACTAAGTCCTCCGCTGGTGGCCATCTTGGATGATGGATCGGCTTCAAAGTAACAACACTTGGTCAGCACCTCATAAGGAATATTCATGCCATGTTTGGTTTCATTCCATTCAGTGGTTCTCTAAAAGAAGACATTTGTAAATATTTCCCATAGGGTCCTATGTTAAACTAAGTCCCCCGCAGGCGGCCATCTTGGATTATGGATAGGCTTCAAAGTAACAACACTTGGTCAGCACCTCATAAGGAACATTCATGCCATGTTTGGTTTCATTCCATTCAGTGGTTTTCTAAAAGAAGACATTTGTAAGTATTTCCCATAGGGTCCTAAGTTAAACGAAGTCCCCCGCTGGCAGCCATCTTGGATGATGGATCGGCTTCAAAGTAACAACACTTGGTCAGCACCTCATAAGGAATATTCATGCCATGTTTGGTTTCATTCCATTCAGTGGTTCTCTAGAAGAAGTTCAAAATGTAAAAAGTTAACGACGACGACAGACGCCAAGTGATGAGAAAAGCTCACTTGGCCCTTCTGGCCAGGTGAGCTAATTAGAACAATACGTCAAATGTTATGACCTGAAAATTTGGTGAACCATTAAAAAGTGTATAATTTTGAACTGACACTGGAAATTTGGAAAACTAAGGTGATTTTAGTTAAAAAGGCTTGCAATACTGAATTAGTGAATAGGTCACTGTGAAGCCCTCAAGACTTGTTGCTCAGATTAATTTACTTGCAGAGAGGATAGAATACCCCTATTATGCACCTGGCATTCAAAATCCTAATCAAAAGGAGTCTGACTGCATATTAATACATGTATAGCAAATGAATGGCCCCAGCCTCATCCCTTTAATGAAGGTTATACAGAAGGTCGAAAAAAGGTCTGGCAACTAATTTTTCCTTCGGATTATCTTATATACATGTATGTTCAAATATTGTCAGTAAATACTAAATCATTAATAAGATTGCAATTCTTCATCGTTATTTACATGATTTCAGATTACAGTACAGTGAAGTTGCCGATTAAATATACAGTGAAAAATTATTTCAACATTTTTTTATGAAATTGCAAATATGATTAAAATTTTACAATTGATATAAAATACCTAAACATTGGCTTCTGTGTGAATGATACAATGGGGAACATAAATGTTTCAAGTCAGGAGCCTGTAATTTAGTGGTTGTCGTTTGTTGGAAATTGTTGCTGTATATCATATTTGTTTTTTATTTATTGTTTTGTACATAGCCATTAGTTTTCTCACTTGTCATTTCAGGGCCTTTTATAGCTTCAATGCTATAAATGCAGTATGGGTTTTGCTAATTGTTGAAGGCCGTACAGTCACCTATAGTGGCTAACTTCTACATCATTTGGTCTCTGTGGAGTGTTGTCTCATTGGCACTCATACCATTTCTTCTTATTCAAATATAAAGTCCATCAGATTGAATTAGTTCATGCTAGTTCTGCAAATCTTATTTATTCACTATCATTCTCCTCAAAATCTAAAATAGAGCCGGACAAAACAGTGATTACTTCAGACAGGTTTCACTGTATTTAGAGAATGTCACAATAACTTTTTTACCTACCATAACATAGAAAGCTGTAAATATAGGGCTGTCTGTGCTCCTTAGTTTTGTAATTGCAGTTTTCATCTTCCATATAAGGAACATTAAGAAAAGGGCATTTGGCCCTAAAATGATTAGATCCCATATTCTTATGCTGCAAAAAGAAGAATTTACATTTACATTTTAATTATTTCTACAAAAAGCCAACAATATTCACAGTCTTAATTTTTCATTATAACATGTATTTTCCTTGTTATATTTTTTGTAAAATAACTGTCAAGTCTGTGTCAATTCATGCATGATGATGTCATCATGGTCATAGACCAATTTGAGGAATACAAACAGGAATACGGTGCCTGTTAGGAAAATTCTCAGTCTCTATATTCTATCAGTTTAAAAACAATTTAGTACTGTTCCTAGCTTAAACATGTTAAATTGAAGCTTCAGCTTTGTTATAAATTTATTCATGTACCTTGAATATGCAATGTCATCATACAATATAGCCTGACATATAGGCTCACTGATCTCTGTGTCAGGTATATTTGGTTCATATGGTGTAATGGTGGTTCCATTACTGGACAACAGCTTTAACACATTGTTGTTAAACTTGTTCAATTGATTGTGTTCTGGGCTTGACTGGGAGAAATGGACTGTACCTGGATCGGACATCAATAAACTCAATCTGAAACAGTTATTTCAAATGACTGCTTGCAATTGTATTCACTGCTGATTGCTGCACATAAGGAAAACAAACATTGTTTAAGCAAGTTACATGTAACTAACATAATTCAACTTCCTTGAAAGACATGAATTTTATATTCTTTATATATATATGACTGTACTTAAAAATAATATAAAACAACAATCTTCCAATTTCTTTAAATTATCTTTGTTCATTCTAACTGACCATACATGAATCTTTTGAAGTGTAAATATAATTCCCCTTTTAAAATAGAATTTACCCCCAAAAAGTAGACTAGATTAATAAGTAAGGGAGGAGAAACAATCTATGGTCTTATTGGATCTCCTATACTTAAAAAGTTCAATGTACATATGTTCTGGTTTCATTACCCTTGTGAATATGTGAGAAGAAAAAACATTTGGATTTTAAGTTTCTCCCATCAAATCTGTCAATTGACGAATTGCGGGTAACTCTCAAAATTATGAAATACAGAAGACACGTCTTTTGTGTCAGATTGGTGTTTTTTTGCATTTGTTCAGTATTTACCATTTTGATATCAATATTCTAAATCTGTTTCAATCTGAATTTTGTGGGTATTACACATATCAATTATGAAATACAAAATATCAAATGTTGCTCAATTCAACATGTTGAAGGAACATAACTTTTCTTGAAATTTTAATTTGCACTGATTTCATTTAGAAGGACACTGACACTGCTCATCTTTATTTATTAAGACAGAAGTTAACTTTCAGAAATGGTCTGATTAATGAACTGCTGAAACTGAAATTTGAAAAAGGGGTGGAGTGTTCTCATTTTTAATGATTTGTACCAATCTTTTCAAATATTTAAAGATTACTTGACCTAATTATTACAGGAATTTTCTTTTTAACACAACAACAGCGTCCTTACCAAAAAAATAGCAACTGCAGGAAATAAATAACTAAGTAAAAATAGACATTTGCGTCAAAATCATAAATTTGTTTTCTACTTGTCCATGAACGTGCTTCAGAAGGAAGGTATTAATCCCTATCTTTCAAACGCACGAAAGATTTGTAGTATTAAACGCGCGATTGTTAGAGTGTGGCGAGTATAAAGAAGAAAAGTGCACATCATTGCAGAACTGCACTATGAGTTGTTTTTGTGGACAGATGCGAGAGTACCGCAATTTGTCAATTGACAGATTTGATGGGAGAAACTTAAAATCAAAATGTTTTTTCCTCTCACATATTCACGAGGGTAATGAAACCAGAACATATGTACATTCAATAATTGAATTTTTATTATGAACAAAATCAAGGATGTATACATATTGAAACTATAGTATAGAAGTCATATGTCTAAAAATCCCCCAGTAGACTTTATGACTGTCCAGAAATTAATTAAGGCAGGGGTGCTAGCTGTGAAAGAGGACGAAGTTTAAAGTAGCAGTACTTATTGTTTTAAGTTTGAATAGATATAAGAAGATGTGGTATGAGTGCCACTGAGACAACTCTCCATCCAAGTCACAATATGTAAAAGTAAACCATTATAGGCCAAAGAGGACCTTCAACACAGAGCCTTGGCTCACACAGAACAGCAAGCTATAAAGGGCCCCAAAAAATGACTAGTGTAAAACCATTCAAACAGGAAAACCAACTGTCTAATCTATATAAAAAAAATGAGAAACACTTATGAATCACATCAACAAACGACAAGTACTGAACATTAGGTTCCTGACTTAAAAATAAACCAATAAATAGATATTTTTGAATGTCATTTTAAAGACAACTTTTGCAATGGAACCCGCCCGACAGTAACTCTGAATGTTCTTATTATGTTTCCTGATTTGTGTGGACCATAGATGTATAAATTATCAAAAAATGTCACAAAGACCATAGGAGCTAAATGCTAAAAAAACAAACCAATTATAATTAACATACATGACATTATGGTATAAATAAACACTTAAAGTTTTTGAGTTTTAATTAAATTTTGTCAAAGCTTTAACAATTTAAGATAAGATAAGATATTGTAACGGGAATGAGTTTCCCCGAGTTCAGCGAATATTAGAAAACAGAATAAGTTACTTATAATATAGATTTAATATCAGCCAAATAATTTAAGCACAATTTACAATGAATAATAATACTGTAAATATTTAAGAATGGCAAAATGAGACATAATGGTGGTTTTAAACGTAGTATTAATCAAAATATCAACCTGAAGAAGGTGATGTTCAGTTTCTCCCTTTCTAAGTAAGTTCGTAAGTGCAGAACCAACGCAAAACTTCCTAGTCTGACGTCATAAGACATCAGAACGGCACGGGCCGGTCCTACCGGAAGAAGACCGGTAGGCCCGGTAATCTCATAGCTAACTACGGCCAGTACGGCAGTTTAGAAGCTATATAAATTACAAAGTGGGTTTAATATGAATAAATTATTAAGTAAAACCAACCACCATTACACTCCCCCTCTCTTAAGACCTAATGTTGGGACGACATTAGTCTAACGATAAAATATTCAATAGAACAAAATACATACAACAATATAAAAGCATGCAAGTAAACTTACCAAGTCCTTAATTATGTTTTAACTTTAGCACTTAATATCAACGAAAATTGCATTTCCAAAATTATTAGCCTGGATTTCTAAATAATAAATTTCTTGAATCAGTTTGAATTATTTGAAATTTTATGTCACGTATTTCAACTTCAAATTTTACGAAATACAGTCAATTAACTTTTTTAACCAATATGCCTAGTAAATATATAAATAATGAACACACAAAAGTCATTGTCACAAGTTTCACAATCAGACATATATGATGAATTATAGTTCCACAAAAAAAAGAATTAAGGTTCCATATTCCTGAACAGTTGGTCCTTCCATTTCAAGTCTGCAAGTTCTGTAAGTAGTCTTCGATTTTCAACCTCGACTTCCCTCCTATTCTTGCGTTCAAGTTCTAGTTTGGAACCCTCTTTTCTGAGGGTCTCTAATCTTTCCTTCGCGACCTGCCTCGTCCTTCCAAGAGAGTCCATGCTATTGGATAAGAACAGTAGGTATAACGATAACTCAGTCTCACTCTCTGGGATGGCCGGCAGCTGAATCGGAGGGTAATCAAGGCAAGACGTCTGGCTGGAATTGTCGGTAAAAGCGGTAGCAGAATACCCAAAGGAGGTATTATAATTCCTATCTGTAGAAGTAGTAGCTGTGGAAGTAGTAGCTGTAGAAGTAGTATCTGTAGAAGTAGTGTCTGTAGAGGTAGTAGCTGTAGAAGTAGTAGCTGTAGAAGTAGTATGTGATCTTTTATGATATTCTGACAGAGAAATCTTAGAAGAACTGGTAGGGAATTTTCTAGGAACTGATACTGTGAACTCTGGTCCATCATCCTCCTTAGTAGGGTTACATGTAGCTGCTAAGACAGATGAAATAAGTGAGATAGACGGAGTGGGTGATGATACCAGTCGGACTGAACCTACGGAATTAGAGCCTAGCTGCTTAGCAGGATTCACAGAAGAAGAAGCTGACTGCTGGTTAGAAATCACATCCGAAGAAGCTGACTGCTGGTTAGAAATCACATCCGAAGAAGCTGACTGCTGGGCAGAGTTCACAACGGAAGAAGATAACTGCTTGGTAGAACTCACAACGGACGATAACTGCTTGGTAGAACTCACAACGGACGATAACTGCTTGGTAGACCTGACTGAAGGTGAAGGTGACTCATGAGCAGCCTTGTCTGAAGGTGAAGGTACTAACTGCTTGGCCGAATTTGTGTTAGACGAATCACATCTCCCTGGTGATCCAGAAAAATCAGGTATCATCACTCTGTTTTTGTATATAAAAAACCCAGGGTCAATAAACCCTTTATTGTCCGTTTGTGTCTTTTTGCATTTCTCTAGGGCGGACTGTATTAATCTCATATCTGTCATATAATGTTGGCGTATTAAATGGATTTTAATGTCATGTTTTCTACGACAGGAAGCTAGACAACCAGCTACTGAGCATTCATATTTCACACACATCATAGTGTGTTTCTCTTCCCAATGTCTCTGATATTTTGTCCTGTTTTCAAACTCAATCCCGGACGAGCCCCCAATGTTACGGGAATGAGTTTCCCCGAGTTCACGGAATATTAGAAAACAGAATAAGTTACTTATAATATAGATTTAATATCAGCCAAATAATTTAAGCACAATTTACAATGAATAATAATACTGTAAATATTTAAGAATGGCGAAATGAGACATAATGGTGGTTTTAAACGTAGTATTAATCAAAATATCAACCTGAAGAAGGTGATGTTCAGTTTCTCCCTTTCTAAGTAAGTTCGTAAGTGCAGAACCAACGCAAAACTTCCTAGTCTGACGTCATAAGACATCAGAACGGCACGGGCCGGTCCTACCGGAAGAAGACCGGTAGGCCCGGTAATCTCATAGCTAACTACGGCCAGTACGGCAGTTTAGAAGCTATATAAATTACAAAGTGGGTTTAATATGAATAAATTATTAAGTAAAACCAACCACCATTACAATATTTTATTGGTTTAAAATCCAAAATTATAGGATTGTTACCAAGACATATACATAAACATACAATATATATCTGACCACATTTATAAACATTGTATATATATATTTTTATATCCCCTCCATTGTTAAAAGAAAATATTGTTACAATAATAAATGTATATAATCTGCTGAGGAGGTGGTACCACGAAGTTATTTAGTACTCAATAAAGCATTTCTAGAATTGTACATGTCGCTTATGAATTTTACAATAATTCTAATTATATCAGTCTCACCGCACGTATACAAAAATTTAAATCTTGCTTCATTAGTCATATTTAAAAAAGAGGGAACTATTTCACTAATTTTTGAAAATAATTGTTCTCTAATTGTATTTAGTTTTGTACAATTTATGATATCTAATTTATAACATAATTCCAACTATGAAATGTGCACTCTGTAAAAGGGTGCCTATAAAATCACCACCTTGACAATCAGAACAGAAAAGACTAGTTTGTAATTGATTTTTCATCTGTAGACTTCTATGATGTCTTGTTTTAAAGACCACAAAAAGGATAGTGATGTATCTTAATTTTATGACAAATCATAGTTTTCAAAATTATTCTGCTTAAGAATTATTTTCTAAAGTTATCCAACATAATCTCAAAATTTAATGTACTGAGGGTCTTAAAGGGGGTTATGTGCATGGACAAACTGAGGAAGTGAAAAGTCCATTTCAAGATGAATAAAAAATAATAAAATATCTTCCAAAATGCTTTTTTACCAGTTTGTTCGAAACGTAGTGAATAATGACATGACTCAAGCTTCAAGCACGAATAAGACTGTACCAATTGTCAAAACTTAATTCACAGAATATTCAGATCTTGAATGGTATAACCACAAAATGCAGATTATTTATATTAACCAAAACAGTAGTACCTCTTTAATATGACCATCTTATAATCTCCACTGTGGTCTTATATATAACATTGGTTGGACTTTCTTGAGGACTTTTGTTCATATCAAAGCATTTTTGAGCTTATCCATAGAAATGGTTTAATGGAAAATTTTACAGATGGACCAATCTGTTGTTTGCTGCCTAAACTCCTGTAAATTATGGCTAGTTTATATATAGTTAAAGGAATAAAAATAGATGTTGGTTATACATCAAGAAGACAGCAACCCAATAACACACAAAAAAATAACGTAGAAAAGACATAGAAGTGTAGTAAAGTTTACATACATAACCTTTCATTAATGTGATTTTTCAATTGAATTAGGTATAATGGTTCATCCATTAATTTTTAAAGTATACTGTAAGTAAATGTATAAAAATTCTGAAATCAGATATTTATTATCAGAACAAAATACACAACAGGATGAACATTGCAATAAATGAAACTTTCATTTAATATTTCACAGCAACATTTTACTACAGCATGTACAAGAATTGCATTAATCGATCTGTTATTTTTGTTGGTTGTCAAACATTTGTAATGAAAAATTCTTATATTAATAATTTTGTATTGACAGTTAGTATGTGATTTAGAATCTGGTTACGTCAAGATTAAAGATGATTGATCAAACCAATCCAGAAAAGTCTATACCTCTTTATATTTTGTGATACTTTCTATGGTTTTTTTTTTTGCATTTTAGATCATACTGTAGGACTAGATAGACCAACTTTTCTTGAAATGTTACAGTCCAGGTGAGTGCTAATATATATTTCTCTGCTAGCTGTTGGTTTCAATAATCCTCAGCTCAGATACTTCAAGAAATTTTAAAATTATGATTTCAATAAAATTCTTGAATTTTTATTAAAGGTTATTAATTGTGAGAACTGCAGCATTATTCTCCTACATGATTTAAAACTTTTGATTTTTTTTGTTACATTGTGTTTTGTTTTAATAGAAAAAAAAAGAATTGGGGTGGTGGGTGTAGGTTTGTACATAAGTCAAACGTCCCATAAAATACTAGGAAATAACCAACTAGACTTTTGTTGGAAAACTTGACATAATAAAAACAGATTGAAATTTTACCAATTACAAATATAAGTTCCTGTATATAAAATCAGTTTTCATTTTGAATATTGAAGTAAACAACTTTTAGAAATTGACTTACAACTTCTGTCCCATTCTGATACTTTTTTGTGCCTTGACACTATTTTCCAAAAATGACTTAACTTGATAAATAAATTAATAAAGTTTTTTTGTTTTTTCTAAGTTTTTTTTACATTTATAATGAATTATTTATATACCTATAAAAAGAAGGTGTGGAAATGTAAATAAAAAAATAGCACCATTTGTGCCCAAATGAGGTGATGTACTGTTATTTGTGAATTGTGATAAAGATATTTTTTTGACAAGACCACTTCCTTAGTTTATAAGAAATCTGTTCATTGTTCTGCAATCAAGGTATTGAATGATAAACCAATGACAATAAAAAAAAACTGTCTTGATGTAGAATTATTTAAGAAACATTGTTACAATCCTTTTCTTTAAAATACTATACAAGACAAATAAAACCTAATAATATTGCTTTTTTTGGTTGAATTTTAAAAATGAAAACTGTCACTGTTGTTGCTATTTTAATGTGTGAATGGTTTTATATATGTATGTTGTATTTTGCTGTTGAATGTGTATTGTATGCATGTATTTGTTTGAGGGCCTCATTGAAAATAAGTCAAGTTCTAGTAGAAACATTCTCTTTAAAAAAGAATTTATAATTATTATCATTATCATTTAATTTCAGTTCTGATGTATATCTGTATTGTTCAGAAGTAACAAAACTACTCTTACTAGAAAAAGCAAAGTACAGTAATTTGGAACATCATGTGGTATGTATGTTTTTATTTATTGAACCTTTATGTTTCAGGTATAGTTTGTGAATTCAGCAGTTGTTTGTTGCTGTTTTTTGTTTCTAATTTTTTCTTATTTATGATAAACAATATTATTAATTAAAACCAAGTACAATCCATATTGAGTAGGGGCCCCGGTGCCTAGTGTCAGTGTAATTGTGGGGCCTGGGGCCTAATGTAATGACAGAGTGGTTTAAGTAGTTCATCTACGGTATCACTAGCTTGACAACAATGTGATTGTGAGTTCTAACCCTATATGTGGAAGGTGCGTTCAATTTCAATCTTTATTGACTAGGATTGTCAGTTTTCCTGCCAAAGGTGGGGTTCTCTCTGGGCACCCTGGCTTCCTCTGCCAATAAAAGCTGGTCACCATGCTGTAGCCAAAAGTGCTGAAAGTAGTGTTAAACAGCAACAATTAATCAATGTTATTTATGAACAATTAATTTTATATTGTCAGTGTAAAATAAGTTCATGTAGAAGCCAGTCATTTATTTAGCTATTTGTTTGTATGATTATTTGTTCAAATGAGTTTTATGTACCTGCCCATAGCTAGAGTCTGTTGTGATTCCGTTGGTTGCTCTCACACTAATTGTTTTTGTTTATTGTTGTAGTTTAAATCAGGCCATTGGTTTTCTCTTTTGAATTGTTTCTCATTTTGTCATCCTTTATAGAGTTGTATAGCTAAAGATGACCTGTTATAGTGACTATAGTTGTTCACATCCTGTCCTTTGTGTTTGGTTGATAGTAGTCTTATTGGCAGTGGTTTCACAGAACACTACAGAAATGTTTAAATTCATTTATCATTGTGAGCACTATGACAATCCATTTTCTATAAATATGTCAGTGTCTCCAAGATTTGATTGCAAAAACAATGAATTTCTTGGTCTTGTGGAAAAGACCTTGTATATTGCTGTTTTATTGTTTCTGTTTTTTGTAAGTATGATTTTATACTATACTAAACAGCAAAATAAGCAAACTCCATTAATTTCTTTGTAGGTAAAATTTCTATTGAATATAGCTTTTTAAAAAGTGATTGAAATGAGTTAAAATTTTGACACAATATTTCAGTAGACTTTTTAAAAACATCAAATTCTGTGAAAATGAAGATTTTTTATTATTTTCAGTTTTTTTATTTTAAAAAATGCATTTTCAACCCAAAAGCAAATAATGTAGCCAAATTTGTGAAAACTGAATGTTTCTTCTGACCTGAACAAGAAAAAATGGAATAGGACTTTAATGTTCAGTTTCTTATTAATTTTTTTTTCCAATGGCCATTTTGAAAAAGACTAATCCCAGACTTTTTGGATGAAATCCAGATTGTTGTCACTAGAATGAAAATTTCTCTTTAAACCAGTGGATTAATTTCAAGGTTAAGCATTAAATAAACTAGAGTTATACAAATGTTTAATAAATGCACAAAAATATGAAACTACTACATACATATATTTGGGTGTGTTATTTGGGTTGTTGACTATATATATAGATGCACTATTTTTCAGAGAGTATTACATATTGATGTGCCAACTAACGTGTCAATTCCACAGCAAGGGTCTTGTAAGGTAAATTTTTCATTTTTCAATTTTCGGAAATATTTGCAGCATGATATTCTTGTTTTATTCTGTAGTTGCCTATGTTTAGGCTGTAAAAATTACATCTGACTGTAGAAAATTTTATTTATTTTTAAAAGTTAAAAAATCATGACAATATTTTTTATCCCACATATGCAAATTTTTTTCATTCCAGTTTTTGTTCTCAATAAAATTTAAATCAGCTGTGTTGTAAAAAATATGATGAAAAAATATTTTTCTTTCAAAATAGTTTTACAATCATTTAACAGATGTAGTGAGACTTCTTAATCAATACCCACTGACTCAAATGAATAATCATTATGTTACAAGTTTTGTAGTATAAACCATTGCATATTGTCACTATATCTGACAAACTAAACCTAAAATGTATTGCCTTATGATTGTATATTTCAGATTGATACCGTTCAAGTCACCCTGCTGCATGCATCTCATTGTCCTGGATCTGTTATGCAAGTATTTTTATTCTCGTCCACTCCATCAATTTTTGTTTATAAATGCTAAGCTTTGTCAATGTTGATTCTATATCAGGATTTACTCATTAGCTTGAGTTTACACATTTGAAATATGAAATTTCTTCTGGTTTATGCTTGCTTAAATGGTCTTCCCAAATGCTGATCTTATGTTTTTGCCTTAGTTAAATAATCGGGTTTTTCTTTTTTAAGAAATTGTTTAAATTTTTTACAAGAGGCCCTTGTTTTAAAAAGGAAATAAAATTCACATTAGATTTGGAAATGAAATTTCATTTTGATTTGAAGTCTGCACAAGTTGATATTCTAAATTATATTTTCAGGTTTTTGTTTGAAGGATCAGAAGGTACATGTTTATACACTGGAGATTTTAGATGGGACAGTCAACAAATTTCCAATATGTCAGCACTCCATGACAAAAACGGGAGGTAAGAAAAGACAATACAGAAACATTCTATTACAGAATCCAACAGATTCTTTGGTTAAAGATGAATATATCTTATTTAGAGGCTTGTAACAACTTTTTGATAGGACTGCAAAAATTCGTGCCATATAATGGTATGGCAATGTCGTTGTCCTCGTCGATGTCCTCCCAAGACATTTGGTTTCCAGACAATAATTTGAGTATAAGTGTATGGATCTCTATAATATTGTGCCACAAGGTTCCATACCAAAAAAGGAAGGCTGGGATTGATTTTGGGGGTTATGGCCTTAACCATTTAGGAATTTGTGGCCAAAAAGGGTCTAAAACAATACTTTCTAATACTTAGTATGAATTGCTTATTTCTAGACAATTTCAATGGGGTTTGATTCAAAGTCTTGAATTCTTAAGGTTCCTTATTATGCTGAATCTAACTGTGTATTTAGATTTTGGATTTTGGGCCCATTTTTAAATTGTTCCACACAGTACTATAGTCTAAACATTACATTGTTCAGACTCCAATTTTAATAGATAAACTATATGATTTGAGAACATTTTTTATGTTTTCAGTGTCAAACTTATCAACAGCTTATACATAGATACAACATTCTGCCATGAGAGCTCTGTTTATATCCCTAGTCGTCAGGACAGTGCTAATGCTGTGTATAATCTTGTCAAGGAATGGATAGGAAAAGGACCAAATTATGTTGTACATTTTACAGCACGAACTCAGTATGGACATGAACATTTGATGAAGGATGTCAGTATAAAAACAGGGTATAAGGTAACTTGTCAGCTATTTAATAGTTTTATCACTGCTAGTGAGGGTATGTAATGATGAAAGGGTCCATTTATACATCCATTCATCCATACACATATCTCATCTCCTGCTTGTTCTGAGCTAGTTAAAGGATTTACATGAAACAGATAGTTCAGTATCAATGTCAACTTTTGTTTCTTTTTTGATAGATTTTTTATCAGTTATCAATGGCAAGATGGAGTTTGTTTGGAGTAAAGATTTAAATTTTATTCATGTTACATCTAGTCTGATGTTAGAAATATAGCTACCCTTTTCAAAAAAGTTATTCCTCTTTCTCACAATCATTTAAAAAAAGAAATCATAAGTAATTTTTTGGCTGAAAAGCTAAAAGAACACAATTTTTATGCCCAACCTAAGGGCATTATGTTTTTCGGTCTGTGCGTCCATTCGTCTGTCCTTTCGTTCATCCAACTGTCCTGCTTCAGGTTAAAGTTTTTGGTCAAGGTAGTTTTTGATGAAGTTGAAGTCCAATCAACTTGAAACTTAGTACACATGTTCCCTATGATATGATCTTTCTAATTTTAATGCCAAATTAGAGTTTAGACCCCAATTTCATGGTCCACTGAACATAGAAAATGATAGTGCGAGTGGGGCATTCGTGTACTATGGGCACATTCTTGTTCCCACTGCCTCCAGGAAAAAAAGTAATCAATTAACTTCTCTTAATATTTTGCCCAATATTTTGCAGATGAAAATAAACTGGTTTCACTGCATACAAAATGCCTATTTCACTTGTAATTTTAACTTTTTACTATTTACTATTTAAACTACTACCAGGTAAATTTTCAGGGAAAAAAATATGATTAGATGACTGAAACTAATTACATCTCATAAAATCAAAAGAAATGAAAATTAAATCTGTGTGGCTTATGAGTTTTAAATTCAAATGTTATAATAGTTCCATTTACTATAGATTTTTACTTTAAGATGCATATAAAAAAAAAGTTGTTTTGTGTCAAATACGTTTTTTTCAGGTATATGTGTCAAAAGAGAAATGTGAAATATATAAGAAAATTCCAGGTCTTGAAGATATTTTTACGAGTGATCCTTCAGAAACACCGGTACATGCCTGCAAGGTATGACCAAAATAAGTTATAAAACTCATAAATAAATTGTAAAACTCATTTTAAAAATATAGGTTCTAGTTTCTCTTTAAAAATATTTATCTATTTTTAACAACAACAACAAAATGAGAGAAGCACAAATTTAAAATATGTCATGTTTGTAAGTAGTAATTGCAAGAAAGAAGCAGTTGGGAGACAAATTTCAATAACTGCTAAACAAAATGAATTTCTGAAACTATCCAAAATATTTTCTTCATAGTTTTAATATATTTTTGCATATTAGATGAGTAAAGACTGCTTTGACAGAAGTTGCAGTCATATGTAGTCACTATTGGTCACACTGAAATGCAACCATTCCAGAAATAATACATCAGTTCACAAATTATTTATATCTTGTCCAATGGAATTTTTACACTGTTTTAAAACAACAGTACAAGTTGATATACAGTGTACTGTCATTCTTTCAGGGGAAATGGCCATCAGATAGTGCACCATGGGGTAAGCCATCTGCAGATTTGAAAGTTATGGTGATACTTCCATCCACAATGTACTTTACTATGTTGCGGAACTTTGATCTCAGCCATATTGTAATAAAGAAAGGATTTTTAAACAGAGTATGCTATTCATTTCATTCATCATACACAGAAGTCAAAGATTTAGTGACATATCTTCAGCCAAACTTTGTTAGACCTAATGTGAAGCCATTACAGGATGATACTATAATGAAGGTAGATATAATTAGTAGCATATCTTATTATCCTGAAAAGGACACGAAAAAATATAAGATTTTTTACCGGGTTTTTCCAAAGGAAAGATCAGGTTATTTATTTGATGAAGTACAATGGGCAGGTGGCTGCCAACAGTTTCTGTGCAATAACTTATGGCCAATGATTTTCTAATTTTAATATATTCTTCGATATTGATATTTTCACCTTTACCATTACCGTTCAAGAGTTATTGTTCTTGATATATTTGAAAATGATACTTCATTCATTTCTGTGCAATAACTTATGAACCTTTCCACCAATGCTTTTCAAATTTAATATTGTTTCTGATTATAGAATGGAGGTCAAGTTTTGTAATGAAGATTTCCCTTTTACCATTCAAAAGTTATTATCCTTGATATATTGGAAAATGACACTTCATTTCGTTTCCATTGAATAACTTATGAACCGTTCCACCAATTCTTTTCAAATTTAATAGGTTGTTACTGATGACAAAATGGAGTCAAGTTCGATATTGAAGATTTTTGCTTTTACTATTCAGGAGTTATGGTCCTTGATATATTGGAAAATGGCACTTGATGTTGGTTCAGTGCAATAACCAAATTTTAATGTTGTTGTTACTGATGACAAAATGGAGGTCAAGTTAGATATTGACGATTGTTACTTTTACCATTCAAGAGTAATGGTTCTTGAAAGATTTTAAAATGGAACTTTATGTTTCTGTGTAATAAATTATGAACCGTTCAACCAATGCTTTTCAAATTTTTATGCCCCCGCCGTAGCGGAGGAGGCATTAAGTTTTACCCTTGTCCGTCTGTATGTACGTACAGACGTCCCAAAATTGGTTTCCGTTCTCTAACTTTAGTTTGCCTCAACCAAATGTTATGAAACAAACAATGCTAATTACCACAAAACACAGATTAAGTTTGAATTTTGGTGGCGTCACTTTTACCGTTTTAGAGTTATGCCCCTTTATAAATGGGAAAATTGCTGAATTTTTCGTTTACGTTCTCTAACTTTAGTTTGCCTCAACCAAATGTTATGAAACTTATACACAATGCTTATTACCACAAAATACAGATCAAGTTTGAATTTTGGTGGCGTCACTTTTACCGTTCTAGAGTTATGCCCCTTTACAAATGGAAAAACTGCTGAATTTTTCGTTTCCGTTCTCTAATTTTAGTTTGCCTCAACCAAATGTTATGAAACTTATACACAATGCTTGGTGGCGTCACTTTAACTGTTCTAGAGTTATGCACCTTTAGAAATGGAAAAATTGCAAAATTTTTATTTTCTTCGAAATATCACGTAATTTTTAAATTTGGAGTTATCTTCCTTTGTCCATGATTATAGTTGAATCAACTACAATCAATGCTTTATACAATGCAATGTTTAATTTTGACTTCCACTGATAAAACACAGATCAAGTTGAATTTGGATAGTGTCACTTTAACCATTATTGAGTTATGCCCCTTTATAAATCAAAAGATTGCAAAATTTTTAGTTTCCATTCTGTAACTCAAGTTTGCCCATAATACAGATTAAGTACGAAATTTGGTGGCAACACTTTTACCATTCTTGAGTTATGTCCCTTTATAAACATAAAAATTGCTGAATTTTTCGTTTCTGTTCTGTAACTTTAGTTTGTCTCAACCAAATGTTATAAAACTTATACACAACCGTTCTAGAGTTATGCGTGTTTACAAATAGAAAAATTGCTGAATTTTTAGTTTCTGTTCTCTACTTAAGTTAGCCTCAACCAAATGTTATGAGACTTACACACAATGCTTATTACCACAAAACTCAGATCAAGTTCAAATTTGGGTAGCGTCACTTTTACCGTTCTTCAGTTATGTCCCTTTATAACTATATGATATGCAAGCGGGGGCATCATCTGTGTCCACATGTGGACACTATCCACATTTATTTAAAGTTGTTTTAACTGATGACAAAATGGAGGTTAAGTTGGATGTTGATTATTTTCACTTTTGACGTTCAGGAGTTGTGGTCCTTAATAGATTGGAAAATAGGCACAGAATGTGGCAGGTCAAACAAACCTGAAACCACCTTCAAAATACAGAAAACCTGGTTTGCTGCTAATTTGACTGCACATTGCTTGTTTTTTTACTTGTTAGAAATTCAATAAAAGTTATTGCTATTTACTAACAGCTGCTTACCTGTTAAGGAAAGAACTTGTTTGAAATTCAAATAAAAACTGGTACTAATTACATGAACAGGGACATTATTAGAGACAAGTCAGGGAGACAGTAACCTATTAGCTTTGTTCACAAAAAAAAAGCAATTTTGGTTACAACAATGACACTCATATACTATAAAGAATGCTAGCAAGGACCGGATGATGATCATGATTAAAACAATTGAAATGAGATATCAAAATACTTATTCCATAGATAAGATAACTTCATGGACAACATTGATACTTTCCCAGAACAGTTAATAATGAAGTATAAACTAATCATATATGGTCTGGACCCTCACTGTATTTCATCTGTACCTGTATCAGTGTCAATTGAAAATGTATGCTATATACCTTGCATATCAATACACAATGAGTTTCTAATCCATTAACCCTGAAACTAAAGAAAACAGATAAATCAATAATATAATGGTTCAATATTGAATATTTGTTGTGGTGCCTTATGATTTTTTGGATTCAGTGGGTTCATGTTATAATCTGATACCTATTCAAAGTTTAATTTAAATTCAGAAATTTCTGAGTGCATTTCTTATTCTGAATGTTGAAGAATGATAAAAAATTTGAGATATTAGTTATTAAAATTTCAGGAAGTACTGCATACAAAAATTGCTTTTAAAATTTAAAATGTGAGTTATCATTTTGGCGAAATCTATTTTGTCACAATTTTTACATTTATGAAAAAAAAAAAAAATCTGAAAATACAGTTTATTTGATATGTTTTAATGTTTTGCAGGTCCAAGGACGTTTGAATGAATTTTTGAAATTAAAGAACAGTAAGAATATATGTGATTCTCAGAAACCAAGACTACTTGGGAAACTCAGAAGGTCAAAATTCACAAAGAAGAGGACAATTTCAGGTAAATATCAAGCATAGTTTCTCATAAAGAGCCCATGACTATGTAGGCCATACTGCTACTTTTCATTAATACTTAGCCTTGTACTTACCATATGTCATAATCTTGGTACAGTCCTAACTAAAAAATACCTGGATGGCTCCTCATGGTTACCCATGTGAACTTCATTGCATTTGTGCCAATTTTTAAAAAATGTAGTATTTCATTTGTGCCACAGGATTGTATTTCAATTGCACCAAACATAAATATTTAGTCCTGAGTTATTCGGTGTGTTATCCGTCGGTTGGGTTTACAAAAGTATGTGAGTTCAGACTCATTTCTCATACAAAACTGAGAATCACATAAAGGTGTGAAATTGTATAGTCTTCATATGTTCAAGGTGATAAAATAGACACAGTTTATTCAGAGACAATTAGAGGAGGAACTATACAGCAAAACCATTATAAAAACCTTGAATGATCCAGGCAAGGTTTAGACCAGGAAAAAAGTAAAATACCAGCATGTAGAAAAAAAAATCAGTGTATAAAGTTTCTACATTTTAGTTTATTGATAAATGTGATTTATGATGAATGTATGTTATATTATGCTATCAAAATATTATATCGCAATATTATTATTAAAATTCTTTTTTCAATGTAGATCTTTTATGAAATACATTATTTGGGTGCAAATGAAATATGGTTTGTGGCGCAAATGAAACATTGTTTTGGCACAAATGAAATGCAAATTGGTGCAAAAGGAAAGCACCGACAGTGTAACAATAATCTTCATTAGATACTGTATATTCAGAATTTAATACTTGCATTCATTTTTGGGAATCTATAATTTGAATCCTAATGTAGTAGAATGAAGCTGATAGTGATGTTTATCGTGTTAATAACATTGCATTGGTTTATTAGTTTTAAGTCTGCATAAATTCTGATTTTTGAATAATCTGACAAACTTTGAAAAAAGAATGTTATTTAAAATATTATTTTTTTTGCAGGTTTTTATACGACCGCAAAAAAATTTTGTGGTCGTATATTGGTATGACGTTGGCGTCGTCGTCGTCGTCGTCGTCGTCGTCGTCCGGCGTCGTCGTCCGAATACATATTGGTTTTCGCACTCTAACTTTAGTTTAAGTGAATGGATCTTTTTGAAATTTGACCATAAGGTTAAATACCACAAAAGGAAGGTTGGGATTGATTTTGGGGGTTATGGTACCAACAGTTAAGGAATTAAGGGCCAAAAAGGGGCCAAAAATGAGCATTTTCTAGTTTCCAGACAATAACTGTGGAAAGGTGTATGGATCTCTCTGAAATTATACTACAAGTTTCCATACCACAAAGGGATGGTTAGGATTTTCTTTGGGGGGTTATGGCTCAAACCGTTTAGGAATTAGGGGCAAAAAAGGGGGAAAAACAAGGTTGTCCTGGTTAATGGACAAATACTTTAGTACAAAACATAATTTAAAGCAGTGTAAGGGAGATAAATCAAATACATCATTGAAATTATCTCCCTTACACTGCTTTTAAATTATGTATAAAGTAATGGTTAATGAACATTAAAGATAATCTAAAACAGTGTAAGGGAGGTAATCTAAATACAACGTTTTGGTTACTTCCCTTACACTGCTTTTAAATTAAAAAGAATTATTCTTCAAATATTATTTTTTTTTCAAATTTCAAATATTGAAAAATTTCAAGAAGTAATCTTTAATTGCACAGTATGGCGCATTAGATTTGTAAAATCTTTGATCACATTTATTTATTTGTTATGCCGAATCTAACAGTGTATTTAGATTTTTAATTTTGGGTCCAGTTTTCAAATTGGTCTACATTAATGTCCAAAGGGTCCAAAATTAAACTTTGTTTGATTTTAGCAAAAATTGAATATATGAGGTTCTTTGATATGCTGAATCTAAACATGTATTTAGATTTTTGATTTTTGGCCCAGTTTTCAAGTTGGTCCAAATTGGGGTCCAAAATTAAACTTTGTTTGATTTCAACAAAAATTGAATATATGGGGTTCTTTGATATGCTGAATCTAACCATGTATTTAGATTTTTTATTTGTGGACCCCGTTATCTAATTGGTTCATATTGAGGTCAAAAGGGTCCAAAATTAAATTTTTTTGATTTCATCTAAAATTGAATTATTGGGGTTCTTTGATATTCCAAATCTAACCGTGTATTTAGGTTTTTAATTTTGGGTCCTGTTTTTTAAATTGGTCTACATTGAGGTCCAAAGGGTCCAAAATTAAACTTAGTTTGATTTTGACAAAAATTGAATACTTGGGGTTCTTTGATTTGCTGAATCTAAACATGTGTTTAGATTTTTGATTATGGGCCCAGTTTTCAAGTTGGTCCAAGATAGGGTCCAGTATTTAAACTTTGTTTGATTTCAACAAAAATTGAATATATGGGGTTCTTTGATATGCTGAATCTAAACATGTATTTAGATTTTTGATTATGGGCCCAGTTTTCAAGTTGGTCCAAATTGGGGTCCAAAATTAAACTTTGTTTGATTTCAACAAAAATTGAATATATGAGGTTCTTTGATATGCTGAATCTAACCATGTATTTAGATTTTTTATTTGTAGGCCCCGCTATCAAATTGGTGCATATTGAGGTCAAAAGGGTCCAAAATTAAACTTTGTTTGATTTCATCGAAAATTGAATTATTGGGGTTCTTTGATATGCCAAATCTAACCGTGTTTTTAGATTTTTAATTTGGGTCCCGTTTTTTAAATTGGTCTTCATTGAGGTCCAAAGGGTCCAAAATTAAACTTAGTTTGATTTTAACAAAAATTGAATTCTTGGGGTTCTTTGATATGCTGAATCTAAACATGTGTTTAGATTTTTGATTATGGGCCCAGTTTTCAAGTTGGTCCAAGTTTGGGTCCAAAATTAAACTTTTTTTGATTTCAACAAAAATTGAATATATGGGGTTCTTTGATATGCTGAATCTAACCATGAATTTAGATTTTTTATTTGTGGGCCCCGCTATCAAATTGGTTCATATTGAGGTCAAAAGGGTCCAAAATTAAACTTTGTTTGATTTCATCAAAAATTGAATTATTGGGGTTCTTTGATATTCCAAATCTAACCGTGTATTTAGATTTTTAATTTTAAGTCCCGTTTAAAATTGGTCTAAATTAAGGTCCAAAGGGTCCAAAATTAAACTTAGTTTGATTTTAGCAAAAATTGAATTCTTGGGGTTCTTTGATATGCTGAATCTAAACATGTGTTTAGATTTTTGATTATGGGCCCAGTTTTCAAGTTTGTCCAAGTTGGGGTCCAAAATTAAACTTTGTTTGATTTTAACAAAAATTGAATATATGGGGTTCTTTGATATGCTGAATCTAACCATGTATTTTGATTTTGGACATTGGACCACAATAGGTAAATTAAAAAAATTCAAGTTCTTAGACCACATTCTTTCTGTGTCAGAAACCTATGCTGTGTCAAATATTTAATAACAATCCAAATTCAGAGCTGTATCAAGCTTGAATGTTGTGTCCATACTTGCCCCAACTGTTCAGGGTTCGACCTCTGCGGTCGTATCAAGCTGCGCCCCAGCGAAGCATTTTATTTTGGTTAATTTCTACTCATCAATTTTTATACGACCGCAAAAAAATTTTTGTGGTCGTATATTGGTATGACGTTGGCGTCGTCGTTGTCCAGCGTCGTCCGAAGACACCTTAGTTTTCGCACTCTAACTTTAGTTTAAGTGAATGGATCTCTATGAAATTTTACCATAAGGTTCAATACCACAAAAGGAAGGTGGGGATTGATTTTGGGGGTTATGGTACCCATAGTTAAGGAATTAGGGGCCAAAAATAAGCATTTTTGTAACTTCCAGACATAACTTGTGTGTAAGTGTATGGATCTCTCTGACATTGTACCAAAAGGTTCCATATCACAAAGGGAATGCTGGGATTGATTTTGGGGGTAATTGCCTCCAAATTTTAGGAATTAGGGGCCAAAAAGGGGCAAAAAACAAGCATTTTTCTAGTTTTATGACAATAACTTGTGTGTAAGTGTATGGATCTCTCTGACATTGTATCACAAGGTTCCATATCACAAAGGGAATGCTGGGATTGATTTTGGGGGTAATTGCCTCCAAATTTTAGGAATTAGGGTCCAAAAAGGGGTAAAAAACAAGCATTTTTTCTAGTTTCATGACAATAACTTGTGTGTAAGTGTATGGATCTTTATGAAATTGTACTACAAGGTTCCATATCACAAGGGGGAAAGCTGGAATTGAGTTTGGGGGTAATTGCCCAAAAAGTTTAGGAAAAAGGGGCCAAAAAGGGGCCAAAAATAAGCATTTTTCTAGTTTCCAGACAATAACTTGTGTTCAAATGTATGGATCTCTCTGAAATTGTATTGCAAGGTACCATACCACAAAGGGAAGGCTGGGATTGATTTTGGGGGTAATTCCCTCAAAATTATAGTAATTAGGGGCCATAAAAGGGCAAAAAAACAAGCATTTTTCTAGTTTCAGGACAATAACTTGTGTGTAAGTGTATGGATCTTTTTGAAATTGTACTGCAAGGTTCCATATCTCAAAGGGAAAGCTGGGTTTGAGTTTGGGGGTAATTGCCTTAAACATTTAGGAATTTGGGGCCAAAAAGGGGCCAAAAAACAAGCATTTTTCTAGTTTCCAGACAATAACTTGTGTTCAAGTGTATGGATCTCTCTGAAATTGTACTGCAAGGTACCATACCACAAAGGGAAAGCTGGGATTGAGTTTGGGGGTGATGAATCATAAGGGGGTTCAAAAAATTGGGGGGGATTTTTTTTTTCCTTTTTTTTCTTTAAAATTTTCAATTTTAAATTGGTTATTTCTGATTTATATATAAAAGCAAATAATAATGATATGGTTTGAATAGGTAAATTAAAAATTTTTAAGTTCTTATACCACTTTCATTCTGTGTGAGAAACCTATGCTGTGTCAAATATTTAATTACAATCCAAATTCAGTGCTGTATCAAGCTTGAATGTTGTGTCCATACTTGCCCCAACTGTTCAGGGTTCGACCTCTGCGGTCGTATCAAGCTGCGCCCCAGTGGAGCATTTTATTAGTTTTTTTAAACAATATGAAAATTTAATATTATGACATATCATCAGAAAAATATTTATCCTGTTCATTTTGAATTTCACTATTCAAATTATATTAAATTATGCTTTCCTTATTAGAAAATTCAAGTGATTCTATTGACCTGAATTTTGGCACCCCAGAAAAAGTTTACCCACCTGCTAAGAAGTCCAGAATAATGAGTGAAGCAGAGACAGACGAGGATGAACACAGTTCTTATGCTGGTAGTAACAGAAGTGACAGTGAAATGAGTGATATCTGTGAATCTGACAAACACAGCAGGTAATAATCTATGAGGTTTTTTTTACAGCTTTATATGAAAAAGGGTTTTCAGTATTAGATTCTGCAAATCTAAATCATATATATCTTCTTATTATATAACTATTTAATTATACAATTTTTTTTACGGAAATATTCTTTATTTAATGTAATTTTTCTCTTTCAATCAAAATTTCAATGGGCCAGGGGTGGTGCCACATATGAAATTGGGAAAAAAGGTAGAAAAAGGTGGCAAATTTCTAGAAAAATAGAGCTTAAATGAAACCTATTCCTATTTCCGGCTAATATATTTATAATATATAAAGCAGATATACACTTTTTTTTATAATTCTTTCAAAAATAATACATTTAGCAATACATACACATTATATTTACTCAACTAATTGCAGTTTTAAAAATACACTTCTACAGGGCCTTTTTTGGGTAACTGGCTTTACTGTTTTGTTTTCACATCCATTGCTTATCAACTTCTTGTTTTGTTTACCAAATATTTATAGTAAGGGTATCATTAGGGAGCAATACTTCAAAGTAATAAAGATCTGTATCATATAATCACTCCCATTTATTTAAAATCATGTTTTTTCTAGACCCCAGTCCTTGTCCCTACCAGGACAAAGTTTATTAGATGCATTAGATGACCATGAATTCCAGGCGTCTCAAGGCAGCCAATCAGAAGCTCTAGAGTGTAGAGTATGTTTACCAGATGATGATGAGCAGACGACAGCTGTAGTTGTCCCAACAAAATCACTGGAAGCTGGTGAATATAAGATTGAAGAAGAAACTAGTGATGACAGTGAGGGTGACACTGCTGGAGCAAACAGAGATGATGTGGTAGACAGTATAGGATTTGATCATAATACCACAGATGATGTACAGCAACCATCCTCAATTTCCAGGTACATGTACACATTTTTAATGTAATAACTCATTATCAATGTTTTTGAAGTCAAACAGTAAAATGGATTTAACGCACCTGCAAATTACAGCAGATGAATAAAAAAATATTTGCAGTACAATGTACCAGTTAAATATTTTCAATTATTTTTTTTTCAATAAAAAAGTACATTCTGTGCTATACAGAGTGATACAGATTGAATTTCATTTTTGCAGTTATCAAATGTTTCATTTCAAAGTAATGCCATTTAATTGATTAGGGACAGGGACTTGCCAGTGTTTAAGATTTGTGCTATGTTGACTGATTAATGAATTCTACTGCTATATTTATGCTGCTTCATTGTTTATGTTAATTTTAATAGATGTGAAACTCTATCTACCCCAGGACAGAGTCTACTAGCTGCAGTTGATGAAATGGAAGCTGAGGTCGTGGAGAGTCAGGACAGCATTATCAATTCTAAAAGGCAAGATAGAACAAATTCTTATGGAGATGACAGGCCTAAAACTTTACATAAAAAAAATAAGTTAGATTTTAGTCAAGATGAAGAAGATGACAGAATTAAAACTGCTATGAAACAAGATAGGTTATATTCTCATGAAAATGATGGATTGAACATGGAGAAGAAAGAAAATAAATCAAATATTGTTGAAATTGAAAGAGTACCGGTAGACACTAAAAAGATACAAAATGGGTCTGGTTCTTATGAAGACAACTTTATCAACTTTTTAAAAAATGGTAATAAAAATTTCAATCAAAATAGTATATCCAAATTAGATTCTATTGCAGAGAAAGATATTGATAAAATGATAAGCAATGGGAGGGAAAAAGAATCAGATGTTGGTATTGATCAGTCGATAGAAAGTGACCTGATAGGTGAAGAGGACAATGTGGTCGTTAGCGAAAACAATAACCAATCAAATCAAAGTTCTAACAGTAGACTGAATACAAGATACCATAAGGTTGATCATACAGAAAATAAATCAAATGAAGTAGTTACAATCATTGATAGTAGTTGTAGTACAGTGTGCGAAAGTCTACCTCATGAAGTTATTGTAAGTCAAGAATCAAACTCTAAAAGCAGCAGAAATGGCAACAAAAATCAAAAAGAGATAAGTTCTAGTTATGATTTATTTGGTTCAGACGAAGGCAGTGATGATGATGGAAGTGATATGGACAGCATGATCACCAATGTTTGTAATGATACATTAAATGGCAGGAACAAATGTGAAAAGGAAGTAGATATCCTGGTCAGTGGCATCATTACAAATACATCAAAAAATAAGGAGAAAGGTAGAAAAGAGGAAATATTGAGCCATAGATCGAACTTTGTGAGTAATGGTGGAACAATAAGTGGATCAAAACCTAAAGTGAATTCAGAAGGCCATAACAATGATTGTGTTGTTTTGGAATCAGAAGATGAGGAAGAGAGATCATTATTATCGGGAAAATTGTCCAGAAGCAATTCTTTTCAAAGTAAAGGTTCTGTGAATTGTCAAATTAGCTCATTAGAAAAATGTGTGACCAAAGCTGTTAATAAATTGTTTAGTGGCCAATGTCAAAACACAGCTATTGACTGCGATGATTTATCTGATAGTGAAGAAACAATACCTCCAATAGACAGTCAGCATTCTGATGCAAGCATTGAAACATTATCTCCCTTTGTATCACCGGTCAAATTTAAACCTGTTGTAGGTCAAAGGTCATTAGGAGATTCAATGTTATCTGGTTCCCCATCTAAGAAGTCTCCAATGAAGAACCAGAGTATAAAACAATACTTGTCACCAGTAAAGAATCAGTCACCACAGAAAGTTGTATGCCAGATGGGTAATATGTATGTTATGAATAATGAGGGTGATACAGGGGAGGAGTCAGCAGAGAACAGTATGATAGATTTGACAGCATCTGATGATAGTGATGATGATGACAAGAATGGAGCTGATGATTCAACTCAGGATTATTATGTTATTGATTAGTTAAAGTATAATTGTTGTTGATTTTTGTCTATTCTGTGATGAATACAGGGAAGGGGAGATATAGTCATTTTATAAGAATGGTTAGCAATACTTTATTATAAAGCCTTAAATGTTAATGTACAAAACATGTTTGTAGAATTTGTATGTGAAAGATTGCTTTAAATTTTATTATAGAGAGTTAAAAGTATGCATTTCAAAATTAATGTCTACTATACTTCCTGTCCAAAACTATGGAAATTTAAATTCCATTATTTTATGTTGATAATAAAGAGGAAACTTTTTTTCAAGCAGATTTTGGGTGCTTGCTCTTGATACTCAAAATAAACAAGAAATTTGCAACAATATCTAGTTTTATTATCTCCCCTTGAATCAGATATTTATTTTTAGATAAAAAAAAATCTCACCTGCTCAAATCATATACTCTTCAATTCATTCATAACATTTTTCAAATTTGTGCTATTGATTTATATTTAAAACAGTCATATGATATGACTAATGATAATGAACATTAGACAGTTGGTGTTCCTGTTTGAATGGTTTTACACTAGTCATTTTTGGGGCCCTTTATAGCTTTCTGTTTTGAGTGCCAAGGCTTGGTGTTTTAGGCCATATTTTGACCTATAATGGTTTACTTTTACAAATTGTGACTTGGATGGAGAGTTGTCTCATTGGCACTCATACCACATCTTCTTATATCTAATTACTAAGATTATTACTCCACAGATTTTAAGTTTTATAATCAATTTTCACAAAATGACTTAATGTCTCAAAAATAATGTCTATTATGTCATCTTGTATCTTTATTTTGGTCTATTAATTGATCCCTTTTCATTTAAACATCTTATTAAACACTAAGTGCTAAACTTCCTAACTTGAATAATGCATTGTTGAGGCCTTCAACCAGAATGTCTCTGAGGGAGGTTATTTGGGGTAATGTATTTTTGTATATTTATGATGTTCATTTATTCGAATATGTTGAGACCAGACAGAGGATGCCATAGGGCTTTAATGTATTGAACAGACCTGCTCTTGAAAGCAGAGTTTTAAATTGAAAACATGAATAGTAAAAACATTTCATATAATTCAATCCTCTATGTGCATACCATGTGCAGATGTGTCAGCAGGTTTTTGATAAACCAAGGATTTGTATAGTAAACACAAATATACAAATCCTTGGATAAACTATGGTGATTTTGACTTTTTTGCTAAAAAATTAATGAAAGTAGTGGCCTCGAAAACTAGATTTGCCTTTGAATTGCATATATTTTTGGCTAAAAAGATTAGCCATTTGAGAGATGGAATATTATCAATACTTTCAATACCTTAAAAGTCAAGATTTTTGTGCATATATGACTCCATAAAAGGTTATACTAAGTAAGTTATTCTTTCTACATAGAGATATTGCTTGGATTTTTATATTTCTGTCTGTAAAATCTTCTTTATCAATTAAGATTTTCACATTGTTCATATTTACTTAATTTCATAACTTTATTTACTTCTAATGAAATAAATGCATATATAGATTTCAAACTTTAATTTGTCTATGAGGTTATTTTAACCAGAATTGTATATAAATTGATTATCACATATTGTTTATGTAAGCATTCTTTCATTCCATCATGTGTTTATTCCGGCCAACTATTATTTACTAGAGACTATTGTATGTAAATAGTGTGAAAACCATTGTTTATTTTTATGGTAGACACGTATATTGTTTACATAAATTAATGGGTTAAAATGAGAATAATTTTCAGGGAACCAGTTTAATTCATCTATATCAGTCCAGTGTTTTTGTTGGTGGATTTAAAAGACTAGGAACTTTCATCCTTCGGCTGTATAGCCAGTCAAGGTCGTTAAAAACTTCCATTTGCCTTCGGATAACGTACACTTGCAGAATCAAACAATCCTTTGATAAAAAAAACTTGTTTTTTGGGTCCATTTTTTACATAAATCACCTATGCAAGTTTTAGTTACTTCAAATACCCCCAAAAAATTCAAAGCCCCATTTTTTATATATTTCCACTTCAAGAAAATCTTCTTCAGAATCTTAAGGTAAGTGTTGGATATTTTACACTAGACCCTGATTAAAAAACCTAGTGCATTTTTGTTGGATATAAAACACTAGGAATTTTCATCCTTCAGATAAAGTACACTAGCGGAATCAAACCACTGTTACATATATGGCATAAGCCTGGAAATATTAATTATTAGAAATGTGTCAATGTCAGATGTTTGTAAATACTCTATATTTTTGTAACTTATTATTTTAACTAATTCTTATTAAAGCCAAACCAAATAACTGTTTCATCCTTGAAAACAAACTTGATTATATGAGAACCAGAAAATGACTTTTACTTGGCCTTATTATGAAATTTACCGTCCTTAATTGTCTTTAATAAATTAGACATAAATTTGCATCATGTTTAACATAAAACTTGATTGTGTTTGTATAGATAATTCAAGAAGAAATTATTTTTAATGCAGCGAAGCAAAATATTATGATACTTTCACTGGTTTCAAAAGGGGGGGATATTAAAAAGTAGCTCCCCTGTGACTTTTTTAATCTCAATGGTGAATGAAAAACTCATAGCCTTCCAAAAAAATATGCTAAAGAGGGTAGAAACGTGTTAAATTCTTTAAAGGTCATATTAGGTATTTATGTGTGTTTGAATGTATTTTCTTTATTTGTTTTAATTTAATGAATATATATTATAATGTTAAGACTCAAAATTATTTATTTTAGAAATCTAGGAATTATGGGGTATATATGTATGATATTTTAAATTGATGACACTGCATGCCAACATTTTATGCAATAAGACTTACAGGTATATTATTTACATATGCATGACATATTTTTACATGAGTTTGACTGTGATAATGTATATGCATTATGCATATCATGATATTAGTTAAAGTATGTGTAGAAAAAAATCATTGTGTTGTTTATATTTTTGTATCTTTTTTCCAATGGTGAGTTTCACTCAAATCAACAACTTTTATTTGTATAGTGTTTTATGTACAAGTCTCACAATGATGGAGGAAGAGCAATTTAGTATTTGCCCTGTCAGTCAGTCTGTTTGTTTATGCATGTAGGTCTATGATTAACAAACCATGTTTCTGTTTCACTGTACTTAGGCTTAAATTACCCTTTCTGTACTAGAAATTAAGATTGTTATTTAAAAATAAAGGCACTGCAAAAAAAAAAAGCCTTTTCAAATAAAACTTAGTCGAGATTTCGATATTTTTTTAATATATCTTATTTGCTGTATATATACTCATTTTGACCAACTGCAGCTTACATAATTCAATATAATTGTATTCATGAAATATATTTTAACAAAGTAAGATGTCAAATGATTGTTCTTTTTATGCCTTCCATTTGTTGTGCTTTCATCATTTCCATCATTTGTGGACATTTGCCATACAAAAATTGTTTAATAAAGTTAATGCATGATTTTAATTTTCAAAAGTGTGTTTCTTTTCATTTACTTGTTTTATTAAAATGTTATATTAATTGTTAGAAAATATTTTTGATAAAATTTGGGTGTTAGTTACTTGCTACTTCTTTTTAAAATAAAATTGTGTTATGTAATACAATTTAATCAAATAAAAACCTTTTGAACTTTTTGAAGTTTTATCATCACTTGTATCTTGGACTATTCTAGATTGCATTTCCAAATAAATATTGACATGGGCAGTTTTGGGTTATATAACCTTAAAATGCAATAGAATTAATAAACTGTTGAAACAGAGATATGTCTGGCATGTTGGCATAAAATTCAGAAATATACAATCTGATGGACAGCAACATTTCTAATTAATTCAAACTCGCTCGAAATGGTCAACAAAGTGAGATGTAGACAGTAATGTAACTTTATAGAAAACATTATTGTCTATTGTAAGTAGTCCTTATCAAACAAACTTAAGCAGAAAACTTAACATCGCAAAATTGCTAATTAATTCAAAGTCCCTGGACCATGACCTAGGGGGCATGGCCTCAAAGTAGTCATCAAAATGATATGTACTGATAGTAATGCAACTTAATACAAAATATCATTGATCTATCGCAAGTAGTTCTTATCAAACTAACTTGAGGAGAAAACTTAACATTGAAAATTGCTAATTAATTCAAAGTCACTAGACCATGACGTAGGGAGGCAGGGCCTCAAAATAGTCGTCAAACTGATATGTACTGATAGTAATGCAACTTCAAACAAAATATCATTGATCTGTCACATGTAGTTCTTATCAAACTAACTTGAGCAGAAAACTTAACAATTGTTGACACCAACTATGTCGTTGCCTGAAGAGCAATACCCATGTCTAGCCTTCCGTGACATTGTCGCAGGTGAGACAAAGATGTCATGTTCAGGGCAACACATTGTTCAAAACAAGGAAGGCGATCTGTCACAAGTTGTTCTTATCAAACTGACTTAAACAGAAAACTTAACATTGAAAATTGCTAATTAATTCAAAGTCACTGGACCATGTCCTAGGGGTCTGGGCCTCAAAATAGTCATCAAACTGATATGTACAGATAGTAATGCCACTTCATACAAAATATCATTGTTCTATCACAAGTAGATCCTTTCAATCTAACTTAAGCAGAAAACTTATCATTGAAAATTGCTAATTGATTCAAAGTCACTGGACTATGACCTAGGGGGAGGGCCTCGAAATAGTTGTCAAACTGATATGTACTGATAGTAATGCAACTTTGTATTAAATATCAATGATCTATCACAAGTAGTTCTTATCAAACTAACTTAAATAGAAAACTTAAGAATTGTTGATACTGTTGCTGCAGCCGTCATCGGAAAAGCAACCCCTATGTTTCGCTAAAAAACAAAAAACAAATCTACAAAACACAATATAGAAAACTAATGACTGAGAAACTCCAACCAGTAATTCAGAAAAAACTAGATGGACAATGTATTTACAAAGACAAACTACACGATACAGATAGCCTCACATCGTTACATTTAGTAGGGTAAATGTCCAATACCTGTTTTTCTGCCACATTAACTTCACCCTTTTTTAAAGTCGCATAAACAACGTGTAGATGAATCCATTACAGTTGATTAGCACATATTTTTTATTTGATCAATGATATTATAAGTGTATGCCTTTGTTAGCTCACCGGGGCCTGAAGGGCCCCATGTGAGCTTATGCCATCACTTGGCGTCCGTCGTCCTCCGTCGTCTGTCGTTATCGTTGTCGTCTGTCATTGTAAATTATTTCAAAAATCTTCTCTGAAACTACTGGGCCAAATACCTTAAATTGGAAAAGGGACATTTTTGGTATAAACCATACTTCTGTGGTACAACATAGATTATAAAGAGCAATTTATACAATTTTCAGCTGGATAACTTGCTAAACTGGTTAAAAATATCATGTACAGTGAGATTTTGGAATTCTTATATGAGTATATACCAATTGCCTAGATTGTAAAAGGCTATCATAAGAAAACCAATAAAACTTGAAAAATCATAGGATTATTTGACCAAGAGCTATTTTTTTACCATAAACAAGCCATTATATACATGTTTTATTGATTGCAATCCCAAATAATTCAAAAATAAGAATTTGGAGGCAAGTCTTAACTGCATGCATGTTGTGTGACCATAAAAGGCTAAAATACCTGATTATGTCAATTTAAGAGCCGAAATTTCCCATAAACAGAATTGTTCATCCAAAAAAGATGATTAAACATGTTTACTTACATCAAATATGACTTATTTTCATTGGAATAGGTACAACTTCTAAAAATTGAATTTCTGATGAATCTCTGTAATAGGAAGTACACCACTAATTCATGGCCCCATTGCTTTCTATGTTAAATTCCTCAATTTCAAGCAGACACAGCTCTTTTGTTTCAAGTTCAAATAAAGTGACAATCATTGCATGTCAAAGCAACACTTTATGGTGTCTTGTACTGGAAAAATCAACATACCTTTAATGGCATATAAGAAAGAACTGGTTCCCGGAACTTCGGATGTACCAAAACAGGTACTTCAGATCTGACATACAGGCAAAAAGTACCCTCTTTATAAAATTTGGTGCAGTTTTTTTAATATTCAAAATTATAAGTCAAAAAGTGTTCTACAATGATCACCAGTCATTCAGCTTTCATTTGATACCAACAATACCTAAATATTCTACATATTTTGAAAGTTACACTCATGCGTAGGAACTATTTTGTGTTAAATATGTACTACTTTCTGGTATGTGCTTTCTGGCCGGGCCGAATTAGTGATGTTACACCTTGTACGTCAAGAAACATAGACACTATGGCTAAAATGGAACATATGGGTAAAAAGCAAAAATAATCATTGATGAAAGATTTAAGCCAAAATAACAGGTGAGCGATTCAGGCTCTTGAGAGCCTCTTGTTATAGTGTGCTGATTACTGGTTGTCATATGACCATAAATAAATGATGGCCAGATTTGGAACACAAATTAATCACAATAAATCATACTGCATTGTGAGGAAGGTTAAGTAATATCATAGATATAACAGCCATGGCTATTATATCTATGGTAATATACTGTGGATTCATTTATTTTCCTTGGTCCTATATTTGTTGATTGAGGAAAGATTGTTTTTTCGTGGAAATCTGATTTTGTGGGTTTGTCAAAGTTCCTATACAAGCCTACAGAAAGTTTGTACTTTGTTGAACATTTAAATTTGTTAAGTAATACCCATGAAATCCACAAAATTCGGTATCCCATGAATAATAATGAATTCACAGTAGACTTTTTTCTCCACTTCATAATAATAAAATGCTCTGCTGGGTGCAGCTTGATATGACCGCAGAGGTCGAACCCTGAACAGTTGGGGCAAGTATGGACACAACATTCAAGCTTGATACAGCTCTGAATTTGGATTGTGATTAAATATTTGACACAGCATAGGTTTCTGACACAGAATGAATGTGGTCTTAAGAACTTAAAAATTTTTAATTTACCTATTATGGTCCAATATCCAAAATCTAAATACATACAGGGTTAGATTCAGCATATCAAAGAACCCCAAGAATTTAATTTTTGTTAAAATCAAACTAAGTTTAATTTTGGACCCTTTGGACCTTAATGTAGACCAATTTGAAAACGGGACCAAAAATTAAGAATCTAAATACACGGTTAGATTCAGCATATTAAAGAACCCTAATATTTCAATTTTTGATGAAATCAAACCATATCATGATTATTTGCTTTTATATATAAATCAAAAATAACCAACTTAAAATGGAAAATTTAAAAGAAAAAAAAAAAAAAGAAAAAAAGGAAAAAAAAATCCCCCCCCCCAATTTTTTGAACCCCTTATGATTCATCACCCACAAACTCAATCCCAGCCTTCCCTTTGTGGTATGATACCTTGCAGTACAATTTCAGAGAGATCCATACACTTGAACACAAGATATTGTCTGGAAACTGTAAAAATGCTTGTTTTTTGGCCCCTTTTTGGCCCCAAATTCCTAAACATTTAGGGCAATTACCCCCAAACTCAAACCCAGCTTTCCCTTTGTGATATGGAACCTTTTAGTACAATTTCATGAAGATCCATACACTTACACACAAGTTGTTGTCCTGAAACTAGAAAAATGCTTGTTTTTTGCCCCTAATTCCTAAAATTTTGAGACAATTACCCCCAAACTCAATCCAAGCCTTCCCTATGTGGTATGGTACCTTGCAGTACAATTTCAGAGAGATCCATACACTTGAACACAAGCTATTGCCTGGAAACTAGAAAAATGCTTATTTTTGGCCCCTTATTCCTAAACGTTTTGGACAATTAACCCCAAACTCAAACCCAGCTTTCCCTTTGTAATATGGAACCTTGTAGTACAATTTCAGAAAGATCCATACACTTACACACAAGTTATTGTCATGAAACTAGAAAAATGCTTGTTTTTTGGCCCTAATTCCTAAAATTTTGAGGCAATTACCACCAAAATCAATCCCAGCATTCCCTTTGTGATATGGAAATTTGTGGTACAATGTCAGAGAGATCAATAAACTAACACAAGTTATGTCTGGAAGTTACAAAAATGCTTATTTTTGGTCCCTTTTTGGCCCCTCATTCCTAACTGTTGGTGCCATAACCCCCAAAATCAATCCCAACCTTCCTTTTGTGGTATTGAACCTTATGGTAAAATTTCATAGAGATCCATTCACTTAAACTAAAGTTATTGTCCGGAAACTAAATGCGTCTTCGGACGACGCAGATGACGACATGATAGCATTATTTTTTGCAGTCATATGAAAATCCAACCTGAAACATCTAATACTTGCCTGCATAAAGTGAAAAAAAAAGCACTGATTTAAATCTGTTTTATTGAAAAAGAATTGTAAACATATAAAATATGGCAATATGTTTAAATATTACATGGTTACCATGTAAGAGTAATCACAACCGACTTAACAATAACAGTACACACAATAATGATATATGTTGGTTTTAGTACATACAGTGAGGTCAATGGTTTAAATATAAAATCTAATATCGTGCTACACATTTAACATATATAAAAATAACATTCAAAAGAAATTCTCTGATTGGTTTTTGGAAAGGTTATGAATTGATTAATCAACAATTAAGTAACAAACATCTGTTTCTCACTCGCATGCTAGATTCAATGGTTAATTATGAAATTAGATGAATATCTCAGTTTATCATATACAAATTGAAGGAAGTTTGAGTTCACACTTGGTTCTGAATGTGTAGTTGTAATTCTAGATTAAATTCTACATACAAGTAAAAAGAATAATAATGCATGCATGTGGTTGATATATTCTGGATTAGAATATGCATTTGCATTCGCACATATATTTATTTTAGAATGAAATCTGATATTAGTTGAAATTAGATGTCAAACTAGCTACCTCAAATGATTTGATTCCAGATTCACAAATATGCAGTTAATCCAGAATATGCTACACCAATTTTGAAATATATTTAAAACAATGTTTATGAATGAAATAATGTAATAAATTGTAAAATCAACATTTTGAATTTGTTTGCTGAACTTTTATTCCCTGGAAGTTCAGTAACTCATCACAGGGGTATCCAGACTTAACGCTGTAATCTGGGTGCAATTTAAAACAGCAATTGTGCAATAAATTTTGTTTAATTGTTAAAAAAAAAAACAGAATATGTGTGAACCCAAACCAGTATTGATATCAAATTAAATTTTGTTGTGTCATGTGGACAGGTTTTAAACAACTGTTTCTCAGTTCCATTGAATGGGTGTAGACTAAGCATAACTGAAATCACTACAATGTTTCCTTAAAACTTCTGAATTTAAAGTCAACAAATGTTCTATCATAGAATGCAATAACAAAATATTGTTCATTTCTCCTGCTTCAGTAAATGTCTGATAAGTTCTCTGATATAGAAAACATGTTTAAACGTGGTATGGTTGCCAATGAGACATCTATCCACCAGAGACCCAAGGAAGAGGATGTAAACAACTATAGGTAACCAAACAGCCTTCAACGATGAGCAAAACCCATACTGTGTTTTGTAAGCTATAAATAGCCCAGAATTCACATTTACATACACTTGAGTTTTAGTGTTCATTTTCTGCTTTTTAAATTAACTTTGTTATTAAATGCATACTTAACTTCATTACAATATTAAAAATATGCATTGTATGTGATAGAATATGTAAGAGACCCAAGGAAGAGGATGTAAACAACTATAGGTAACCAAACAGCCTTCAACGATGAGCAAAACCCATACTGTGTTTTGTAAGCTATAAATGGCCCAGAATTCACATTTACATACACTTGAGTTTTAGTGTTCATTTTCTGCTTTTTAAATTAACTTTGTTATTAAATGCATACTTAACTTCATTACAATATTAAAAATATGCATTGTATGTGATAGAATATGTAAGTTGTACTTATATATATACCAGATTTAGTCTGTCTATTCTGTATTTTCAATTGAGTTAACAGGATATTTAATTTTTTTTACAATGCCATCCACCTTTTGCATCCATTTATAGATGTAAGTATAGTCTACACCCAGTTCATCTCAGCTAAATATTTCGTTTTTAATAATATTAGTGTCAGTTGGAAAGACACCTTATATATTTATACCTGTACAATACATTTTATCATTAAATAAAAAAACAAATTTTAATAAAGTGGTATAAAATCACACAACCATGTGTTTCTGATACCCATAAATACACACACATTGTACATGTATTACTGACTGCTATCTGGGTAGTGATTTCAATAAGAAACCAGTACAAATACACTGTATATAATAACCAAGAAAATGAACTTTTAGATCAACATCCCCTCCTAAAACTTTAAGTCATATTTCACTTCATAATTTAAATTATTTCTTATAAATAGATTTTCAAATGATTTTATTGAAATACCAGTAGTTTTGTTAATAATGTAAAAAATAATTTTCTGTAGCCTAGTCCTTCTTAAGAAGTCAGGACTACTAAAAGTTTTTACAGCATTTTTATATTAGAAATAATTTGGTTAACATAATAATGAGTAAAACTATTATACAGCATGTCAAAGATACTGTTCTGGGATCGACATGATAACAATAATAAATAGTGGAAGATTAAATTAAGTATTGATATCTCATTGGTCAGATGAGCATTAATATTTTCACTTATTATGCTTAATGTTTCATCCTTACCAGAAAAAAATGAAATTCCATAAAATGGCCTTAATCTTTAAATGAATTCATCATTAAATTCATTTACAATGAATACTACAATGGGTAAACACAGTTCACAATCTGAAAATGTGTTGTGTAATCTGTACACTATATTAAATGTTGAGTTGTGAATATAAAACACACAGGATAGCATTTCATAGGGACAGTCATTACATGCATACTCCCATGGTTATCTAGATTAATATTATATCCATCTAAAATGAACTGGCAATTTTGAAAACATTTTTTTTTTTTCAATAAAAAAAACATATTTTGATAATTCTACATGTTACAAAAAATTCACATGGTAAATTAAGGGGAAGTAATTACAAGAAATATTATTCTAATACTTTAACACGGAAATGTTCCCTGGGGTTATTATTTTTTTTTTGTTAACTGTTGCCAAATTTGGTATATATTGATTTATAAAACAGAAAAAGTAGTGCATAAGTTATGCCAATTCTCATGACAAATTTATATTGAGAAAAGATTTTTTTTCTCTCACAAAACAAAACAAAAATAAAATGAAAAGAGACAATATGTCATCACAGATCAATGTTCTTCTCTAAAAGGGACTAAATATACATTTGTGTCGATTTAGCATTAAATAATGTTTTCTATTGGCTTTAATCTACATGATAGTTGCAAAAAGTGAAATTGCTTGTTGCTGGCACGATTTCAAACTGTTTAAAATGCAAGCAAGACCTTTCAACACCTCAAAACATAACTAAGAACCAGTACCGGTAATTTAAATTGACAAACTTGTATTCTTTTGTTGCAAGACTTGAGAATAACTATTATGATACAGCTAACCATGTTTTTATACTTATGATAAGGTACATGTACCAAAACTCCATTACTTGTAAAAGAATTTCTAACAGTAATTATCATTTTTTTTTTAATAAATTTTAAAGTTTTTTGTATGAAAAAAATCATACATCTTTTGACTAAGAATTCTGAAGGTAAATTACAGGTAATAAAAAATACACTTATCTTTTAGAAAGTATCTAAAAACCAATCAATGGCAAAAACAACGAAGTACAATGCAAAAACAGATTTTAAAAAAATCTGTCATATTCCTGATCTAGTATTGGTACTTTCAATGTTAAAGTGTAGGGTAGAACCTGCTTTAACAATGTGCAAAACCTTACACTTGTATATGACAGTTATAATTTACCTAATAAGAATTATAAAAGTTATCATTCAAAAATAAAAATTACCAAAACACTTCTGGCATAAAGATTTAAAACACTGGAAAACCTTCTGACATTGAATTCCCTCTGAAAAATTTATACTTTGAAATAAACTTGCAATTTAGAAAAAACAAGAATGGGTCCATAGTACACAGATGCCCCACTTGCACTATCGTTTTCTATGTTCAGTGGACCATGAAATTGGGGTCAAAACTCTAATTTGGCATTAAAATTAGAAAGATCATATCATAGGGAACATGTATACTAAGTTTCAAGTTGATTGGACTTCAACTTCATCAAAAACTACCTTGACCAAGAACTTTAACCTGAAGCGGGACAGACAGACGAACAGACGCACAGACCAAAAAAACATAATGCCTCTAGGTGGGACATAAAAAAAATAAATTTTTCTTTCAAAAAAATAAATAACATTTGTACAATTGTTTCATATGAACATTTATGTTTTATGAAATCTATAACTAAAAGGCCATGGGAATTGAGCATACTCTTCGTGGGTACTTTGCATGCACATGGAATTTAAAATCATACTCTTTTTCTAACTTCAACACAATTCAATTTCTTTGTACCATAGAAAAGAAAATTATATCTGTATGCATATAAAAATAAAGTGTTAATAAAGTTACCTTAACCTTTTTAAATAATAATTAGAAATAAAAATTTATTTTTATTTAGACAAGAAGTAAGTATATGACAATGTATCAAGAAAATATATGCATTAATTTACATGACTCAAGTTTACAACATATATTGGTTAAACCTGGACTAGATTGTAAACACCTAATGCTGATGAATTTGATCAGTGTTGGTCATCACAAGACTAATTTTACTGATCTATCAATCTTAAAACAGTTTAATTGCCTCTTTTCTATAAATTACTATGCAAAATGTTAAATATACCCCTGCTCTAGGCTAATTCCTATCTAACTAGAATTCAGTGATCAGTAAATTTTTCCTGTTACTGAACTCCAATAAGTCTAAGGAAATATTTTTACTGTTTATAAATTTGGCAAAGTTGAAAGATTAAATTTGAACTCATTTCATAATAAATTTCTCACATTACTGACCGCATAATCTCTTAGCTATAGTTGCCTCCATATAAATAAAATATCATATTGTTGTTAATTTTTTATCCGTATACTGCAAAAATAATATTCATGAAGTATTTTTTTGTACCTATTCTTAAAAAAAAGGGAAATTCACCTAACAAAAATTTTCCATTTTTCATTTCTGAAACACATGTAAAATCGTATACATTTTTATTATTTTCCACACACCACAAAAATATTCAATACATGTATTTTTAAGTAAGGTGCATGTGAATTGTAAACATTACTGTTGAGAACATACTGGGTCCTTAGCACTATAGTACAGATAAACTGCCTCCTTCAGTTCTGACAAGTTTGGTTTTATCTTTCAATGATGTTAACTTGGTTGTAATTTTACAGAAAAATTTGAAAATAAATACAATGCTTTCAAAAACTGGCAATTTGAAACAACTTTTACTAAGTAAGTGGTTTATGTATCTAAACAAGAAATGTGTTTCATCGCTACACAAATTTTAATTTAAACCTGTGTGAGGTCACTAGGTTGAAGTGGGATATTATTGTATGGCAGTATTACATTAAACAGCAGCTGGAGTAAGTAAACCAAAATTACTGGCTTTAAATATTCTTTGATCTAAATGGCAGTATTTTTAGCAGCAGCTAAAATCCCACAACTTAACAGTCTTATCATATGACCCTGAAACAATTATAAAATCGTTGAACTGTAAACATGTAACACCATCTGTGTGATTGCGCAATGTCACCAATCTTTCACCAGTCTGTAGATTCCATACCTGTAACAAGAAATAAATTTTTTCTTGCATATAAATTTTCATGAACTTGCAATCAAATTGTTAAATAAATCAATTGCAATCAAAATGTTAAATAAATCAATTGCAATTTAAAGGTATCATTTATATCTTATAATTTACACAAGCACCATTGTTTCAACAGGATTACTACTGTGACAAAACTAGTATCAATCATTAATGCTAATGTATATGGAATCCTATAAAAATAGGTCATTACATAGTTTCTAAAATAGAGGCTAGAATTTGACTTAACATCTGAATTGTTTATTTCAATATCTTGAATATATGCTAGTATCTAACTGTCTATAATTTGTGCTAAATTACAATAATTATGCCATTTGAAGACTAAGACCCTCATACAGTATAATTCATCACAGTCAAGCTGCTGAATAAATAAAATAATTCTTTCTTTTTAATAATACCTGAGAAAATTGCAATAAAAATATTTGTTAGACAGACAGACAAGGTGATTACAATAAAGCCCTCACTCCTAGAGTAGGGTTTTATTACTGCATCTAGCACTTGCACTGTTGACCATGAGATACCAGAAAAAAGCACAAGTTACAAAAAATGTAATATCACTATTATCTTATAATCTTACTTTGATAGTCTTGTCATCTGCTGCACTACAAAGTCTCCAGCTGTCTGCTTGTAAACATCTATAAACAAAAATGATTTTATTTCTTTACAAAAATAATGCAATCATTATTCAAACAAGAGGCTCTCAAGAGCCTGAATCGCTCACCTCTATTTCAGAGGAGAAGCTTTTTAAATGTTAGCAAACTTGATGAACAAATTGTATAAAATTGTCTTTAAAGGGCAATAACTCCTTAAGGGGTCAATTGACAATTTTAGTCATATTAACTTTTTTGTAGATCTTACTTTGCTGAACATTATTGCTGCTTACAGTTTATATATATCTATAAAAATATTCAAAATAATAACAAATAAAAACTGCAAAATTTTGTTAAAACTACCGATTCTGTGGCAGCAACCCAACAATTGGTTGTTCGATTCGTCTGATAATTTTAGGGCCGATAGATCTTGACCAATTAAACAATTTTACCCCATGTCACATTTGCTCTAAAAGATTTAGTTTTTGAGATATAAGCCAAAAACTGCATTTTACCCTTATGTTCTATTTTTAGCCATGGCGACCATATTTGTCGATGGATACAAACTTCTGATACAATTTATAAACAAGATACCCTAAGGAACATTTAGCTAAAGTTTGAAGGTAATTGGCCCAGTAGTTTCAGAGAAGATTTTTAAATGTTAGCAAACTTGATGAACAAATTGTGTAAAATTGTCTTTAAAGGGCAATAACTCCTTAAGGGGTCAATTGACAATTATGGTCACATTAACTTTTTTGTAGGTCTTACTTTGCTGAACATTATTGCTGCTTACAGTTTATATATATATCTATAATAATATTCAAAATAATAACAAAAAACTGCAAAATTTTGTAAAAACTACCATTTCGGTGGCAGCAACCCAACAATGGGTTTTTCGATACGTCTGAAAATTTCAGAGCTGATAGATGTTGACCAATTGAACAATTTTACCCCATGTCAGATTAGCTCTAAAAGCTTTAGTTTTTGAGATATAAGCTAAAAACTGCATTTGACCCCTATGTTCTATTTTTAGCCATGGCGGCCATGTTTGTCGATGGATCAAAACTTTGGATACAATTTATAAACTAGATACCCTAAGGAACATTTAGTTAAAGTTTGAAGGTATTTGGCCCAGTAGTTTCAGAGGAGAAGATTTTTGAAATAGTTTACGACAATAGACGACAACGACGACGGACGCCAAGTGATGGCATAAGCTCACATGGGGCCCTTCGGGCCCTGGTGAGCTAATAAATGGAGAATGTGTCCCCATGGACACAGATGATGCCCCCGCTTGCATACAACATTATAAAGGGACATAACTCAAGAACAATAAAAGTGACACTACCCAAATTTGTACTTGATCTGAGTTTTGTCGTAATAAGTATTGTGTAAAGGTTTCATAATGTTTGGTTGGGGCAAACTTAAGTTACAGAACGGAAACTAAAAAATTTGCATTTTTTCCATTTAAAAATGGGCATAACTCGAGAATGGTTAAAGTGACCCCACCAAAATTCAAACTTGATCTGTGGTAATAAGCATTGTGTATAAGTTTCATAACATTTAGTGGAGGCAAACTTAAGTTAGAGAACGGAAACTAAAAATTTTGCAATTTTTCCATTTATAAAGGGGCATAACTCTAGAACAGTTAAAGTGACGCCACCAAAATTCGAATTTGATCTGTGTTTTGTGGTAATAAGTATTGTGTATAAGTTTCATAACATTTGGTTGAGGCAAACTTAACTTAGAGAACGGAAACTAAAAATTTTGAAATATTTCCATTGATAAAGGGGCATAACTCTAGAACGGTTAGTGTGACGCTACTAAAATTCAAACTTTATCTGTATTTTGTGGTAATAAGCATTGTGTATAAGTTCCATAATATTTAGTTGAAACAAACTTAAGTTAGAGAACGGAAACTAAAAATTTTGCAATTTTTCCATTTATAAAGGGGCATAACTCTAGAACGGTTAAAGTGACACCACTTAAATTCAAACTTGATCTGTGTTTTGTGGTAATAAGCATTGTGTATAAGTTTCATAACATTTGGTTGAGGCAAACTAAAGTTAGAGAAAGGAAACTAAAAATTTTGTAATTTTCCATTTATAAAGAGGCATAACTCTAGAACAGTTAAAGTGACACTACCAAAATTAAAACTTGATCTGTATTTTGTGGTAATAAGCATTGTGTATAAGTTTCATAACATTTGGTAGAGGCAAACTCAAGTTAGAGAACGGAAACCAATTTTGGGACGTACGTACGTACAGAGGGACAAAGGTAAAACTTAGTGCCCCCTCCGCCACGGCAGGGGCATAATTAAAAAATAAATCCAGTTATCAAATGCAAATCATTTTAAGAATATGACAGTGGTAAAAACCTTATGAACAATTTTAAATTGACCAAGATCTGTACAAAGGAATGAAGGATCGCTATGACTCACTTCTACAACTTTCATTGCAGGTGTGACAAAAAAGCAGTTTATATGTCATTGAATTCAGAATGCATTAAAATACACCTTTATAATTATGAAAAAAGAATATTGAGGTGAGATATTTGGTACAACTATCTAAAGATACACTGGAAGATTACCAATAGATCTACACTTGTATTGCTATTTTAGTGTAACAGTTGCTGTACAATGTAAAGGAATAACAGTCTTAGTGTTGATTTTGAGCATGTAAACTAAGAATGCTTTTAATATGTATATCATCCATATTTTAACTAAGAAAAATTAACTGATTTTGTAAATATCAAATATCCAAATGGTTCTAAAACAGTAAATTACCTGACAACACCTGTATGGCCTTCAGATGCTTTCCAGTCAATGGTATTTATACAGTCACCACTGTGTATGTCCCACATTTTTAAATTACAGTCCATTGAGCCACTAACAATTCTTGTAGAATCAAACTGTAAACAAGTTACTGCATCCTGATGACCTGTCAATGTTCTGATACAGGCTCCCTCATAACTCCATATCTAAATCAAACAATTTTTAAATATTTAATAAAAAAAACAATGGTAAGCAAGCTCACATACCAAAGTGTAGATAGATAAATTTATCAGTATAAAAGATCTTATACTGTTCTATGATACATTTTGGGGTCTATTCATCAGTACTTTTAACAAATTCATGTTTTCTTTTACCAACAAATTTGCCACTTACTATGAAAATTAATATCCACCATGGAAATACTTAAATAGTATGCCTGGGTATTTGTGCATGAAAGATTTACTTTAAACATATTTTATTTTAAAAAAATCATGTACGACATATACATATAAATACAGTAATACATAAATACAAAGAGATTCGGAAACAAAAGAGGGATGAAAGATACCAGAGGGACAGTCAAACACATAGATCGAAAACAAACTGACAACGCCATGGCCAAAAATAAAAAGACATACAGACAAATAATAGTACAGATGACACAACATAGAAAACTAAAGACTAAACAGCCTGGACTTTGTCAAGACTGTTTCACCCAAATCGCGTTCCTAACCATAAAAGACGCTATAGGCCAAATCACATTGAATCTACTAAAAATTGTTGAACTTGTTTAAACAAAAGTAAATTTTCTTCCTGACTGAGAATAATGATGCCAAAAAGGAGTGTTTTTATACTGTATTGAAACGGAATTGTATCTATAGTACGTTTTCGAACAAGGGAGTAATTATTACACTCAAGCAGAAAATGCTTACTGCTCTCGATTCTGCAGCAAATACAGTTTTTACTTTCTACAAGATTTCTCTCTCCATGTAAGATTTACCAGAAATCCAAATCGAGAAATAACAGGTTTAAATTTTTCTGATGTCTTAAAACTAGAGGCTCTAAAGAGCCTGTGTCGCTCACCTTGGTCTATGTGCATATTAAACAAAGGACACAGATGGATTCATGACAAAATTGTGTTTTGGTGATGGTGATGTGTTTGTAGATCTTACTTTACTGAACATTCTTGCTCCTTACTATTATCTCTATCTATAATGAACTTGGCCCGGTAGTTACAGTGGAAAATACTTTGTAAAAATTTACAAAAATTTACAAAATTGACACAATCAAAAATCTAAACACATGTTTAGATTCAGCATATCAAAGAACCCCAAGAATTCAATTTTTGTTAAAATCAAACTAAGTTTAATTTTGGACCCTTTGAACCTCAATGAAGACCAATTTAAAAAACGGGACCCAAATTAAAAATCTAAAAACACGGTTAGATTTGGCATATCAAAGAACCCCAATAATTCAATTTTTGATGAAATCAAACAAAGTTTAATTTTGGACCCTTTTGACCTCAATATGAACCAATTTGATAGCGGGGCCCACAAATAAAAAATCTAAATACATGGTTAGATTCAGCATATCAAAGAACCTCATATATTCAATTTTTGTTGAAATCAAACAAAGTTTAATTTTGGACCCCAATTTGGACCAACTTGAAAACTGGGTACATAATCAAAAATCTAAATACATGTTTAGATTCAGCATATCAAAGAACCCCATATATTCAATTTTTGTTGAAATCAAACAAAGTTTAAATACTGGACCCTATCTTGGACCAACTTGAAAACTGGGCCCATAATCAAAAATCTAAACACATGTTTAGATTCAGCATATCAAAGAACCCCAAGAATTCAATTTTTTGTTAAAATCAAACTAAGTTTAATTTTGGACCCTTTGGACCTTAATGTAGACCAATTTAAAAAACAGGACCCAAAATTAAAAATCTATATACACGGTTAGATTTGGAATATCAAAGAACCCCAATAATTCAATTTTAGATGAAATCAAACAAAGTTTAATTTTGGACCCCTTTGACCTCAATATGAACCAATTTGATAACGGGGTCCACAAATAAAAAATCTAAATACATGGTTAGATTCAGCATATCAAAGAACCCCATATATTCAATTTTTGTTGAAATCAAACAAAGTTTAATTTTGGACCCCAATTTGGACAAACTTGAAAACTGGGCCAAAAATCAAAAATCTAAATACATGTTTAGATTCAGCATATCAAAGAACCTCATATATTCAATTTTTGCTAAAATCAAACAAAGTTTAATTTTGGACCCTTTGGACCTTAATGTAGACCAATTTGAAAACTGGACCCAAAATTAAAAATCTAAATACACTGTTAGATTCGGCATAACAAATAAATAAATGTGATCAAAGATTTTACAAATCTAATGCGCCATACTGTGCAATTAAAGATTACTTCTTGAAATTTTTCAATATTTGAAATTTGAAAAAAAAATAATATTTGAAGAATAATTCTTTTTAATTTCTGAAATCTGAAATGAGAAAAAATTGAACCCCTACAATTTCTTTTTATCCCCCCCCCCCCCTTTTTTCCCCAAAAAAATTCTTTCCCTCAAGATATGGTCATAATCTCAATTCAAATTTCTAATGGAGTTGGCAACCATAATTACCCATTTAAATTTACCATAGTGCTAACTTAATCTATTTTATAATAGAATTAAAAATATAGTGTCAAATCTTTCATATGGATTTTTTTGTAAAAAAAAAAGATGCAACATTTGCAGATATTTTTACTGGTCTTCCTTTATAAATATGCATTTCTTTAAACATAATTTAAGAGCAGTGTAAGGGAAGTAACCAAAACGTTGTATTTGGATTACCTCCCTTACACTGTTTTAAATTATCTTTATTGTTCATTAACCATTACTTTATACATAATTTAAAAGCAGTGTAAGGGAGATAATTTCAATGATGTATTTGATTTATCTCCCTTACACTGCTTTAAATTATGTTTTGTACTAAAGTATTTGTCCATTAACCAGGACAACCTTGTTTTTCCCCCTTTTTTGCCCCTAATTCCTAAATGGTTTGAACCATAACCCCCCAAAGCAAATCCTAACCATCCCTTTGTGGTATGGAAGTTTGTAGTATAATTTCAGAGAGATCCATACACCGTTCCACAGTAATTGTCTGGAAACTAGAAAATGCTTATTTTTGGCCCCTTTATGGCCCCTAATTCCTTAACTGTTGGTACCATAACCCCCAAAATCAATCCCAACCTTCCTTTTGTGGTATTTAACCTTATGGTCAAATTTCAAAAAGATCCATTCACTTGAACTAAAGTTAGAGTGCGAAAAACCAATGTGTCTTCGGACGACGACGACGACGACGACGCAAACGTCATACCAATATACGACCACAAAATTTTTTTGCGGTCGTATAAAAACGGCAAAATTTCCTTAAAATTACCAATTCAGTGGCAGCAACCCAACAACAGGGTGCCTGATTGGTCTGAAAATTTCAGGGCAGATAGATCTTGACCTAATGAACAATTTTATACTCATCAGATTTGCTCTAAATGCTTTGGTTTCAGAGATATGAGCCAAAAACTGCATTTTACCCTATGTACTATTTTTTAGCCATGACGGCCATCTTGGTTAGCGGGCGGGGTCATCGGACACATTTTTTAAACTAGATACCCTAATGATGATTGTGGACAAGTTTGGTTAAATTTGTCTTAGTAGTTTCAGAGGAGAAGATTTTTGTAAAAAATTACAAAAATTTACGAAAAATGGTTAAAAATTGAATATAAAGGGCAATAACTCCTTAAGGGGGCCAACTGACCATTTTGGTCATGTTGACTTATTTGTAGATCTTACTTTGCTGAACATTATTGCTGTTTACAGTTTATCTCTTTCTATAATAATATTCAAGATAATAACCAAAAAGGGCAAAATTTCCTTAAAATTACCAATTCAGGGGCAGCAACCCAACAACGGGTTGCCTGATTGGTCTGAAAATTTCAGGGCAGATAGATCTTGACCTAATGAACAATTTTATCCTCATCAGATTTGCTCTTAATGCTTTGGTTTCAGAGATATGAGCCAAAAACTGCATTTTACCCTATGTACTATTTTTTAGCCATGTCGGCCATCTTGGTTCGTGGGCAGGGTCATCGGACACATTTTTTAAAATAGATACCCTAATGATGATTGTGGACAAGTTTGGTTAAGTTTGTCTTAGTAGTTTCAGAGGAGAAGATTTTTGTAAAAGATTACAAAAATTTACGAAAAATGGTTAAAAATTGACTATAAAGGGCAATAACTCCTTAAGGGGTCAACTGACCATTTTGGTCAAGTTGACTTATTTGTAGATCTTACTCTGCTGAACATTATTGCTGTTTACAGTTTATCTCTTTCTATAATAATATTCAAGATAACCAAAAAGGGCAAAATTTCCTTAAAATTACCAATTCAGGGGCAGCAACCCAACAACGGGTTTTCCGATTCATCTGAAAATTTCAAGGCAGATAGATATTGACCTGATAAACAATTGTACCCCATGTCAGATTTGCTCTAAATGCTTTGGTTTCAGAGATATAAGCCAAAATCTACATTTTACCCCTATGTTCTATTTTTAGCCATGTCGGCCATCTTGGTTGGTTGGCCGGGTCACCGGACAAATTTTTTAAACTAGATACCCAAATGATGATTGTGGACAAGTTTGGTCAAATTTGGCCCAGTAGTTTCAGTGGAAAAGATTTTTGTAAAAGTTAACGACGACGGACAACGACAACAGACGACAACGACGACGACGGATGACAGATGCCAAGTGATGAGAAAAGCTCACTTGGCCCTTTGAGCCAGGTGAGTTAAAAATTACTTAACTTTAACTGTTTCCAACTTTACTGTTGATATCCAATGGAGAAAAATATATTTTATTTTTTCACTCAGGCAGTTGAATATTTAGATTTAACTTGACTAAAACATTCTGGTATTTCTTCGCTATCATAAATAGGATGATTTTTATTGAAAACAGTAATAATCTTCAATTTTATGTCTCCACATTTTCATATAATGATGTCATAATAGAAGAAAAGAACTTAGGTATGAAGTTGATCTTTCTCGAGTTTTTGCATTCAAATTGATGTTGGAGGATAGGAAGGGATATCCAACATCCCTCCACAACCAACATACTGTTTTTGAATAATTTGAATACATCAAACATAATAGCCATGACCCGTGCACCATAATAAAACTTCCTTTCCTACCCTCCCACATTCAATGGAATAGTCCCTTCAAATTAACTAATGTTACCTTGATTGTTTTGTCACATGATCCTGATACAATCTTTGTCTCATTAAATTGTATACATAAAACAGCTGCTTGATGCCCTCTGAAAATAGCAAGTAGCATTAGAAGATTATGCTAAATCTTATAAAATACTTAATTTTCAATTTTGTTACAGAAAGGATTTGTATATGAAATGTAAATAGGAGATGCATTAATGTATTTTCCCTTTTCCTGAAAACTTAACCAGTCAAACGTTATTCAAACAATTTTCCAAATGAACTTCAACTACCTTTAATAGTTAGAGAAACTTTGAACTTGAAAAATCATAAAAGATACCACTTGTCCATACTTGTCTTACATAGACAAGGAAAAAGACTTGAAATTTGCACTTTACTTTTTCCTTGGAAACTGAGATACAAAGATCAATTCTGTTGTCAATAATCATAAACATTGTTTACAAACTTATTCCATACTTTTTGTACTTTTTCTAACTATTTAGAATTTTTCAGAACATTGTAAAAAATAGCTCCTAACATTACAACTGTAATAATTTTGTTTCAATACCTCAATGTATTTCTACAGTTGCCCGTCTTCAAATCCCAAACTTTGATAGTAAAATCATAAGACCCACTAATCACTTTATCATCATCAACCTGTAAAAAAAAGATAACATAAATAAATCAATTACACTTATTTTGTAATTCAGATCAAATATATAGTCATCTTTCTTAAACGCAAAATAGACAGGACGATGATAAAGTATTGAGTCAATGAAAGTTCAATTCCAGGGTAGACAACTGAAATTTGATAAGTTTAAACCAGTTATTGAATATACTGTTGGTTTGATCATTCATTGTTCTTGCGGATTTTTATCCAAATCATGTGTTTATTTTAGATGGTGTTTTTTTTTCTATACTCGTTTTAAATATCTCATATTCCTAATTTTGCAATTTTTCTTCTTATTACACTTGAACGGTTGTTGTGATGAAGTCCTTTGTAGTTGCATGTATTTTGTTACAGTATTTCAGTTTCTATTTCATTTTTAATGTCATTATCTTATTTATTTTATTAAATAAAGATTTGAATAAACTTCTCGTTTTTGTTCATTTTTACTCAATTCCAAATTTATAATAATTCCTTTTTAAGTCTGGCTAAGAAACAAAAACTACAATATAGCTAGTTTGTTTGAACACTCCATCTTTTTTAATAACACAAAGAGTAAAAATATGCACATAATTGGTAAAATCTTGATTTTGAGATAAGAGTCGACTGTATATATATATTCTAAATGTTGGAACAATTGAGCCTTAAACTACTATTTTTCAAAGTTATGCACAGAATGGAAAACAACATAAGCAATGCATAAATGAATTTTGATAATCCACAGAATATATATGCTTTTCAAAAGTAATAAAACACATCTAATACACATTTTGTGTTAAAAATTGAAAAAAAAATCATTTGGTTTAAGGATTTTTCAGGTGGATATTTTTCAAATTAAACATTTTTGTATAAGTTATAGATATTTCATATCTTTTGAATAGTTTTGTGGTGTTTCGTAAATTATACCATAGCTTTTGTTGAAACCCCCGGCAATAACCTCACGAGACGAAGTCGAGTGAGGTTGCCGAGGGGTTTCAACAAAAAACTATGGTATAATTTACGAAACACCACAAAACTAACCAAAATATATGAAATATCTGTTTTAACCTATTGCATATGTTGTTGTTTAAAAATGTGTATTTCATATATTTTTGTTTATTAACTTTAAAAATAATTTTGATAAGAATCGGTCAAATTACCCTTTTAGGACCTTACACATTAAGCTCCGCCTACTTTCTAAAATACGCACGGGCTTCTGAAACAGCGGGAAAATCAGTTGGACAGGATTTTTCGACAGCGATGGATGCATATCTACATTGGTGACGGGTAACGTTACAGACTAAAAACTGTTGAAGGAATTATATGTTCTGCATATGGACGCAAGATATAGTTTGAAAGATTTCTGGAACCCAGATTTAAAGTTGAACTGCAAAGGGTTAGTTTTTTTTTTATTTTATCAAAATATTTGAAATGTTTTTAAGTTTTTGGTATTAATTTATTATTCTGTGGAAATTTAATTCACAAGAATTTTTCTGAGAGTTTGGGTGAATCATTCCATGTTTTAATTTGTACCAGAAGCCTAAGTTGTACATTTAATTTTATTTAATTCAAAAAGATTTCAAAATGATCACGATTAAAGATCATTAAAAATCACATGTAGACTATAGATAATTTAAACAAAAAGTTCACCTTTATTTAGAGTAACCAGACGCTTTCTATTCTTAACGGCCCAACATAATAGTTATTACTTAAGCAAATCGTTAAATTAAGATGTATATAAAATCGGATACGGATCCAGGATTTTGAAAAGGAGAAAGGGGGGGGGGTCTAGCCATCCAACATTTGGAGTAATAATACGAATTATCTATTCATTTACCATATATAAAGCTTCTTGAAAGGGGCATGCCTTCTCCCTCCCTCCCCCTTAAAAAAGCCACCACGGCAAATTTCAACCTTTACATGTAGCTATACAGTTGAGCCTAAGGGACTACAATCCAAGTATACATCTCAATAACCGAAAATCGAATTATATTTTCAAGTATAATATAATAATAATATATTTATATATACTTTTTTTTTTAAACTTTGTTCTTGAATCGAATTTTCATTCATTTAAAAATATAGGACAACGGAGTTGGTGTATGTGGGTTCGATTCCCACCCTAGGCATTCATTTATATCGGCTGGTGCAAAGCGGGCAGTTTAGCTTAGTGGCCCCACACTGACTCTGTTGTTCCTATTTTAAAAAATTCAGGCGGCCTCGGATAGGCCTTGCTATCTTTCTTTTTTTCTTATCGAATACCAAATACAACAAAACCATGGTATAATTGTGAAAATTATACCATAGATAGCTATGGTATAATTTTCGGTTATTGAGATTTATACTCTTGTTGCATTCCCATAGGTTACATAGTACAGCTATAGGTTAAATATTATTTAATTCTACCAAAGATTTTAACAGACAAAACATTATATTTATAGAAGTTAACATTATAAGCATATAACTTATATCTTTTATCTCAAAAACCATACCTGAATGCATCTAACAGTATCTTCATGTCCAACCATAGTTACTTTACAGGCAATGCTAGACCAACTTTCTTGGGTAGATAAATCCCATACCTTACAAATAAATTTGAAAAGATCATTTTACTATATACAATGAAGAAAAACTATTAAAAGATTACAAAGTTTGAAGAATGAGTATATGAAATAAATAATTTCATGTTTTTTACACTATCTCATCAGTGATATTAGTCCTATACTTGGGAATTGCTGTGATATTAGACACTAAAGATGAAGTCTGTGTCCTACACTTGTGTATTGCTGTGATATTAGACACTAAAGATGAAGTCTGTGTCCTACACTTGTGTATTGCTGTGATACTAGACACTAAAGATGAAGTGTGTCCTACACTTGTGTATTGCTGTGATATTAGACACTATAGACGAAGTCTGTGTCCTACACTTGTGTATTGCTGTGATATTAGACACTAAAGATGAAGTCTGTGTCCTACACTTGTGTATTGCTGTGATATTAGACACTAAAGATGAAGTCTGTGTTCTAAACTTGTGTATTGCTGTGATATTAGACACTAAAGATGAAGTGTGTGTCCTACACTTGTGTATTGCTGTGATATTAGACACTAAAGATGAAGTCTGTGTTCTACACTTGTGTATTGCTGTGATACTAGACACTAAAGATGAAGTGTGTGTCCTACACTTGTGTATTGTTGTGATATTAGACACTAAAGATGAAGTGTGTGTCCTACACTTGTGTATTGCTGTGATATTAGACACTAAAGATGAAGTCTGTGTCCTACACTTGTGTATTGCTGTGATATTAGACACTATAGACGAAGTCTGTGTCCTACACTTGTGTATTGCTGTGATATTAGACACTAAAGATGAAGTCTGTGTCCTACACTTGTGTATTGCTGTGATATTAGACACTAAAGATGAAGTCTGTGTCCTACACTTGTGTATTGCTGTGATATTAGACACTATAGACGAAGTCTGTGTCCTACACTTGTGTATTGCTGTGATATTAGACACTAAAGATGAAGTCTGTGTCCTACACTTGTGTATTGCTGTGATATTAGACACTTAAGATGAAGTCTGTGTCCTACACTTGTGTATTGATGTGAAATTAGACACTAAAGATGAAGTCTGTGTCCTACACTTGTGTATTGCTGTGATATTAGACACTAAAGACGAAGTCTGTGTCCTACACTTGTGTGATGTTTGACACTAAAGATGAAGTGTGTGTCCTACACTTGTGTATTGTTGTGATATTAGACACTTAAGATGAAGTGTGTGTCCTATGCTTGTGTATTGCTGTGGTATTAGACACTAAAGATGAAGTCTGTGTCCTACACTTGTGTATTGCTGTGATATTAGACACTAAAGATGAAGTCTGTGTCCTACACTTGTGTATTGCTGTATACTTTCACAAAGGACAAAAGGAGTCACACAAACAAAGGAGTCTCAGGCCAAGAGAGGTGTAGTGGACATCCACAACATTAACAACCCTAAATCCAAGATTTAAATGTTCATTTTTGCTCTCAAAATGCCTCAAATCTAGTTACTGTAAATTCAGAAATTATTGCGATGTTTTTATTATTGCGAAAATTGCGACAGGGTTATAATCGCAATAATTTAAACTCGCAATTTGAAATTTTTTATATGAATTAAACAGGATTTTTCTCAATATCGCAAAAATTAAAATCGCATTTTAGTCTAAAATGAGAAAATCGCAATAATAAATGCACGCAATAATTTCTGAATTTACAGTAACTGTTTTGTATACTTGTGAGTTATTATCAACTTTAAAATATACACTGAAGATTTATGACATTTGAATTTTCTCTTTGAATTCAATTGGTAAAATCTTGAATCTTTGTTCATTTTAATATGACTAGTAAGCATATTTCATTGATTTCATGTTATTGATTATTTAATAAATCCCCATTACATTCTTGTACTACTCACTTTTATAGTTTTATCAGTCGACCCACTGACTAAGCGTTTCCCTTCCAGATGTAAACATCTTACTGTATCACTGTGGCCAACCAATGTCTGTTACACAATTGTACTACTTACTTTTATAGTTTTATCAGTTGACCCACCGACTAAACGCTTTCCCTCTAGATGTAAACATCTTACTGTACCACTGTGGCCAACCAATCCCAATTACACACATGTACTACTTACTTTTATAGTTTTATCAGTCGACCCACTGACTAAGCATTTTCCCTCCAGATGTAAACATCTTACTGTATCACTGTGGCCAACCAATGTCTGTTACACAATTGTACTACTCACTTTTATAGTTTTATCAGTCGACCCACTGACTAAACGCTTTCCCTCCAGATGTAAACATCTTACTGTACCACTGTGGCCAACCAATGTCTGTACTGACCATGGCGCATTGGTTCTTATATTCCAAACCTATTTCAAATAATTCAACATAATTATGCAATGCAAATTTTGATCAAAACAAACATAAAATGACTATATATTGCATACAGAAATTAATTTTCACAAAAATACAAATTTCAACCTTTCTGTTGCGTAATGTTTTTTGCAACTTTAGTTAATTTTCATATTTCAATAGAAAGTCAAATACAGTCTGTCAATTTAAACTATGCAGACATCTGGATATTTTCAAGTAATAATCATCAAAGAAAAACACTATGTATTTAAGAGAAAGGAAGGAAGAGAGAAATGTAGATTCCACCACTGCAACAAGTGTGTTACGATATTTCTCCACTCGAGACAGTAAAATTTTAATATTTAAAGTGCGAGGCTTGTTGAGATTTTTAAATAATTACAATTTAACTGTTGAGAGTGGAGAAATATTGTAATAAACTAGTTAAAGTAGTGGCTTCTGTTTTACCTAATGATTTTTATCCTTCCTTTTCAAAGATTTGCAGAAAGTTGTGTTCTTTATATGTGACGTCATCAGACATGGTCGCCTTTTTTCACAATAGGAAATTCAGAAGAAACCAAGAAAATTTGACATCATAATTAAATTTCGACCAATCAATTGCCGAGAACAGATATTTCACTAGTGAGGAGAACAATTTTTTCACAATCAGTTGGAAAATGTGAAAAAAGTGAAAAAATTAGTGAAAAAAATCATTTAAACATTGACACATCTTTAAAAATTAAAGCTACAACATTTAGAAATATTATGACCATTGAACCTCCAAAACAATCTTACTATCAAACATGCTTTAATTTTTGGTACAGCTATACAAAAATTACACATCAATAAAAGGAAAACTGAGGTTACACATTAATAAAAGAAAAACTGAAGTTTAAGTCTGTAAGACTACAACCCAACAACACAACAAACATCTAGAGGTCTCAAGTTTGAACTGCTGTCAAAAATGTCGAAATGCATTTCACACTAATTTGAATTTTTTCAGCTGTATCATCTTATATTTGTAAAAATACCAAAATAAAGTAGCAGTGAAGTAAGGTTGATTCCTAGCTCTTCCATCTCCTTATGACAATCACAAAAATACATGTACTTCTATTTTCAGCCTTGATTTACCTTGATTGTCTTATCAGATGAACCACTCACAATTCTAGTGTCATCAAACTGTACACAAGATATACCTATAGAAAGAAAGATACACCATTAAAATAAGTTAATATCATGCAGCAAATTAATGTATTTTACAAAAAAAAAAATAGATTCTTAACAACAACTTCCATAAGAAACAACTCATCCTAATATGAAAAAGTGTTTTTAAGTGTTCCGGTAGTATTTGTTGGAATAGACAAAAAATACTGTTAGACAGGTCAGCATTCAACAAATAGCACATTGGCTGCAAAATACACTTCTGTAATATTGGCAACAAATAACAATTCATTTCAGCTAATTACCTGTTTACTTTTGTATTAATCTGATCAATTTTTAATATAAGTCTAAAATTAAAATGTAACAAATCCATTTACAATTTACAATTAAATACTAACATGTTACCTGATATAGAAATTGTAATTCTCAGGATAATTATCAAGTGCTAATCTTCATTCATTTTTCAATTTGTAAATAATTTAACAAGTTTTTATTCATTTCATTCAGGTGTATCAAAGTAAAATATTCCCATTTTATTACAATCTGCATAAATAATCAACATTCTAAAAGGAAAATGTATGCTAACTCAGCTTTTTATGACAGGAATTTCCCATGGCATTGTCATTCATCTGTAGCTAATTTAAACTTAAATTCTCAGAAATTGACATTGACAAACAATTCCAAGTAACACAGTTTTATTATCAGAAATAAAATATTAATACCTCAATTATGGAAATTTTATTCATCAGTAGCTCATTAAACTTAAAAATACCTTGACTATGGCCTTCAAATGTTCTAACAGTACATCTACCATTTAACCAATTCTGTCTCAGTCTATATCTCTCAGCAAATACTTTCTTCCACTTAAATAAATATTTCATTTACAAAAATAATTACAACAACAATACTTTATTTTCAGAGAGTTACACAGTTAGTTATAAAAATAAACTGACCTGTGGCTCTCATTATAGAAAAGCATTAACTTGGTTGAAATACAAAATTGCAAAAATGTCATGTTGATTCTTTTTTTTATAGCTGACTGTACATTATGGGTTTTGCTTATTGTTGAAAAACTGTACAATGACCTATAGTTGCATAAATCTACTTCACTTGGAATCATACCACATCTATCTTTTTCACATGGCATACAAGTGTTGTTTTATTGGTCTTTCCTGTCCACTTGTTTTTGTGATCAAGTTTCAGTGGTTACTTTATGACACTTGCTTTGATCTTTCCTTTTCTCACTGTTTATGAATGAAGACCCATGTCTTTTTTTTTAAATATTAAGTCTTCTGATATACAAAAATCTTATATAAACCTTTGGATGAGACAGAAAGATTTTAGTAAATGGACAAACTCGAAAATGTCAACAAAGCTTATCTCAATCACATAGAATTACTGCAAGAGTCCTACTTTTGACAAATTCACAAATGTGCTGCCTGTATATAGTGATGAATCAAGATATTTGCTGGACACATTACTAAATAAATGGGGAATGTGTCCATGGGACACAGATGATGCCCCCACTTGCATATCATATAAAGTTATAAAGGGACATAACTGAAGAACGGTAAAAGTGAAACTACCCAAATGTGTACTTGATCTGAGTTTTGTGGTAATAAGTATTGTGTACAAGTTTCATAACATTTGGTTGAGGCAAACTTAAGTTAGAGAACGGAAACGAAAAAATTCAGATTTTTCCCTTTGTAGAGGGGCATAACTCTAGAACAGTAAAAGTGACACCATCAAAATTCAAACTTGATCTGTATTTTGTAGTAATAAGCATTCTTCATAAGTTTCATAACATTTGGTTGAGGCAAACTAAAGTAAGAGAACGGAAACGAAAAATTCAGCAATTTTTCCGTTTGTAAAGGGGCATAACTCTAGAAAAGTTAAAGTGATGCCACCAAAATTCAAAGTTGATCTGTGTTTTGTAGTAAATAGCATTGTGTATAAGTTTCATAACATTTGGTTGAGGCAAACCAAAGTTAGAGAATGGAAACCAACTTTGGGACGTACATACGGACGTACAAGGGTAAAACTTAATGCCCCCTCCGTTTCGGCGGGGGGCATAAAAAAATCATAGCATTTAAGAGTTTTTAAGATACCTATCATATTTGCTAAACAGCTCGAAAAAGGTTACGTTGAAACATACACAAATAGCAACAAAATTGTACACAAGTTTTGGTTATGTTTAACAAACATTTTAAATGCAATTTGAATAAAAATCGTGTACTAAAATAAATTTCAACATGAAACAAACCTGGATACTTCCTTCTGGTGACATGTGACTGATCACTTGTTTGTGTTCTGCAGCCTTTGAGAGCCGCCATTTTTGTTGACAGCAAAATTTTCTCCATAGTGAAGGTTCTTCTGTCAGCTGTCCCCAGAGGCAACAAACCTGGGCTGCCTTACATAATGTTACTGTACCAAAAAATACAGAAGGGTTGCACTGAATACCCAAGAATAATTAAAGAAAAAAGATGAAGAAAAATGTAAAACTTTTCACTAAAATTAAAAAAATATATGATTTTGTTTTTCAAAGTCAACAGAACTTAATTAATAAATTTATTAAATCTTTCATTGAAACAATATATACCTTCATTTGCAAAACAATACTTACTTATAAATATATCTTGACAAGAGTGCACATGCTGAAATGTCTCGACTGATTTACTGACCATTGATTTTATGTTGAAAGTCTTAAAGATAAAGGTTTTACTAAAGGCATTACAGAAACTTAACATTTTCTCAAGATCTATGACAATGAGGTCAAGGTCAGATAAAAAGTGTCAGACTGATATATACACCTTGCAATTTTTTTATACACCAAATATAGTTGACCTATTGCTTATAGTACTTGGAAAACAGAACAAAACACAAAAACTTAACATTGACCAATGAACCATGAAAATGAGGTCAAGGTCAGATAACAGACAGACATGTACACCTTACAATCATTGCATACATCAAATATAGTTGACCTATAGCTTACAGTACTTGTAAAACAGTCCAAAACACACACAAATTAACAATGAATAATGAACCATGAAAATGAGGTCAAGGTCAGATGACACCTGCCAGTCTGACATGTACACCTTACAATCATTCCATACACCAAATATAGTTGACCTTCTGCTTGTAGTATCTGAGAAACGGACCTAATAATGTAACTTTAACCTTGATCACTGATCCATGAATTGAGGTCGAGGTCAGGTTAACCCTGTCTGACAGACATGTAGATGTTGCAAGGAACCCACATACGAAATATAGTTATCCCATTACTCATAATCAGTGAGAAATTCACATGACAAATTTTTTTTTTTTCAAGCAGTCGCTGAACCATGAAAATGAGGTCAAGGACAATGGGCATATGACAGACGGAAACTTCATAACATAAGGTACCTGCATACAAGGTATGAAGCATCCAGGTCTTCTACTACTGAAATATACAGCTTTATACAAATAGTTTACACAGCCACAGCCGCCGGATAGTAATACCTATGTCTTGCATACTGTGACTTTCGTCACAGATGAGACAAAAATTAAAAAACATTCAATTCCATGTATTATTCTTTATTAGAGTAATTAAGTATACTTTGCCATCCCTTCTTGATATAACCCATCAAATAATTATATGCTTGGTATCTTTAAATTGTGTAATTTGTTTTCCTGTAAACTTACGTATTACTTTGTCTTAAATCAATAGTGGCTCAAAATATTTTTAAATTCTCTTTTGGTTTAAATAATCAATTTTAAAATCAAATCAAATGACATAATTAAAATTTGTATTATTTGTGTGCATGTGCTTTTCATGGTTTTTTATTCAACTGCATACCACACACAAATTCAACCATAAAATCATGATAGGCTTAATATGAACCATGAAAGTGAAAACCTATGGTTCATCAACCAACAATTAAATTTTTATGCATTTGTATTACCCAGAAACAAAATAGTTTCATGTTTACAACTAATACAACTTGTAACATACCTGGATCAAAATAAGACATAATTTTATGAGCCAAGCTGGTTGGCAGCCATGTCAGAATATCTTGGCAGTTAGTTGGACAACCTCTATGGAGATTTGGAGCCATTTTCACTGACAGAAGATGCATTTGGGGTAAATCACAGTACATCTGTAACAGAAATACATTTCATCAATAAATAAATGTGTTCAAGTTTCATTTAGACCAGAGCTACTCTGTATATACCATATCCACCTATGATTTCTAATAATCTAGAAGCATTGGGATGTCCAATGCCACCAGATGTAAAATGTAGGAAGTCACTGTTGTTTATTTATAATATTTGGAATTTTAATTTTACTCTCAAGAAATCTCTATTGATAGTGTCAGATGTAAAATAAGGCACCTGGTCCAGGTCCAAACAAGAATGTGTCCATAGTACATGGATGCCCCACTCGCACTATCATTTTCTATGTTCAGTGGACTGTGAAATTGGGGTCAAAACTCTAATTTGGCATTAAAATTAGAAAGATCATATCATAGGGAGCATGTGTACTAAGTTTCAAGTTGATTGGACTTCAACTTCATCAAAAACTACCTTGACCAAAATCTTTAACCTGAAGTGGGACAGACAGACTAACGAACAGACGCACAGACCAAAAAATATAATGCACCTAGGTTGGGCTTCAAAAGCCATTTTTACCTGATCTCAATTTATAAACTCTGATTTTTAGTTTAAATTTGCACCTTAAAATCAGCACAACAGAATAATCATTATGGAACTTTGAAATCACAATTCAATAATCTCTGAACAGATGGAACACCAATAAAAGTCATAAGCAAATAAACTGCTTCGCTAAGCGCAGCTGGATACGCCTGCAGAGGTCCAACCCTGAACAGTTGGGGCAAAAATGGACACAATATTCAAGCTTGATACAGGTCTGAATTTGGATTGTTATCAAATATTTGACATATTATAGGTTTCTGAATAAATGTAGTCAAAGAACTTGAAATTGGTTATATGAATTGAATCTATATTCAATTAAAGATTTCTTGCTGTTGTGCAATACACCGTGCTGTTGCGCAATATTTAGTAAATCTGTTGTCAGACTATAAACAACTAAAATCTTATAACTCGGAAACGTAAAATCAAAAATTTAAAAATCAAAAGGGAGCTTACAAAGATAGATATAAACAATTTACCAAAGTTTCATAAAAAATGCTGTAAGCATTACAGCATTTTTTAATTATTGTCTGAAAACTGGAAAATCCCCCATTTTGTAATGAATAAAACCCCATAAATCGGAAACGTATAGTCTAAAATTCATAAAAATCAAAAGGGAGCTCATGTCGATAGAAATAAACAATTCACCAAAGTTTCTTGCAAATTGGTGAAATTGTTTTTGAGTTCTTGTCCGAAAACTGGAAAATCCCCCCTTTTTTAATGAATAAAACCCCAAAACTCGGAAACGGTAAATCCGAAATTTGTAAAAAAATGAAAGGGAGCTCAGGTCAATAGATATAAACAATTCACCAAAGTTTCATGCAAATTGGTGAAATTGTTTTTGAGTTATTGTCGGAAAACTGGAAAATCACCCCTTTTTTAATGAATAAAACCCCAAAACTCGGAAAAGGTAAATCTGAAATTTATAAAAAAACAAAAGGGAGCTCACGTCAATAGATATAAACAATTCACCAAAGTCTCATGCATATTGGTTAAAGCATTTTTGAATTAATGTCCGACATGTTGACGATGGACGGACAGACAGACGGTCAACGGTATACCATAATACGTCCCGTAAACGGGTGTACAAAAATTGGGAATGAGGAAAGGCCATAAATTTAAGGGCAGAGCACAACAATAATTAATAAGTTTCCACAAAGAAAAACACAAAAATCTCAGCTTTTCAACTATTAGCACTATAACATACCATAGTATGATACTAAATAGTTAAAAGTTAGACATCAACAAATATGACAAATTAATATAATCACAGGAGAAGGTTCTTCAAATATATGACCCAATACTTTGAAGCCCATTGCACTTTAAGTAGTTGACAACTAACATGTGAATACAAATTGATTTAAAAGAAACTTTATATAATTACAATGATATAAAAAAAATGCCATTATCCATATTCTATATTGAAATATGAAATATTGATAAGTCAATCTATAAAGTTATTCAAATGAAAACTATTTAAAACAAAACAAAAATAAATAATCATAATGTTTTCTTTAGGGACATGTATCTACAGCATATACACATATTAATACTACCCAAATCTGTAAGAGTACAATGAAGGCGTGAAGTATGAAATTCTGTTTAACTATCTTAAAAGTATTAGTGGCAACTTATAGGAAAGCTCCTGGGACTATTAACTCAGATACCAAATGCTTAACATCTTCCCGGCAATTGCCCCGATGAATAAAATATGAAAATAATCTATTTAGTGTAATGGGTCTGTCACATAATGTTTGTATCAGGGTAGTATGACAGGAGAAATCCATACCTAAAGTGATATTTTCAATGACTATCCATGATCATTAAATTAACATTGTTTTTTCTGTACAAAAGAAAGTCATCAATCATTGGACAAGCTTGTGAAAGGATCAAATGTTTACTGTTTCACATCAACACAATCAAATAACAGGTCATAACTTAAAAATTTACTCTTTTCTAAAGCGAAAAACAAATTCTGAAGCATTCAAACCTTAAACCTGTCACACCATTAATTACCAAATAATTCGTAAGTTATATGTGAAGTCTTAATTCATAGGCGAGTGTCATGGTAACCAAAAAGTTTATACAAGTATAAACTCAATTAAGGAAGTCCCAATTTTAATTCCTACACAGGCGAAAAAGTTCCGTAATTGTTTATCTTAATCCTTAAGAATCTTTACTGCTGGAATGAAAAAATAAATTATGTTTATATAAAAATAAATTTAATACTGTGGATTCATTATTATTCGTTGGATACCAATTTTCGTTGATTTCGTGGGAACAGGTGAACCACGAATTTAAATGTTTATCGAATTACAAATTTTCTATAGGCTTGTATGCCGACTTTGGAAATACCACGAAATCAAATATCCACGAACATGTAAGTTTTCCTTAATCCACGAAAATTGGTACCCACGAAAATAAATGAATCCACAGTAATTCCCATAGTTACATTCATTTGAACATGTTGAAAAAAAAATGCTCTGCTGGGGCGCAGCTTGATACGACCGCAGAGGTCGAACCCTGAACAGTTGGGGCAAGTATGGACACAACATTCAAGCTTGATACAGCACTGAATTTGGATTGTAATTAAATATTTGACACAGAATGAATGTGGTCTAAGAACTTAAACATTTTTAATTTACCTATTCAAACCATATCATTATTATTTGCTTTTATATATAAATCAGAAATAACCGATTTAAAATGGAAAATTAAAAAAAAAAAAAATCCAACGCCAAATTTTTTGAACCCCCTTATGATTCATCACCCCCAAACTCAATCCCAGCCTTCCCATTGTGGTATGGTACCTTGCAGTACAATTTCAGAGAGATCCATACACTTGAACACAAGTTATTGTCTAGAAACTAGAAAAATGCTTGTTTTTTAGCCCCTTTTTGGCCCCAAATTCCTAAACGTTTGGGGCAATTACCCCCAAACTCAATTCCAGCTTTCCCTTAGTGATATGGAACCTTGCAGTACAATTTCATAAAGACCCATACACTTACACACAAGTTATTGTCCTAAAACTAGAAAAATGCTTGTTTTTTTGCCCCTTTATGGCCCCTAATTCCTAAAATTTTGAGGGAATTACCCCCAAAATCAATCCCAGCCTTCCCTTTGTGGTATGGTACCTTGCAGTATTTCAGAGAGATCCATACACTTGAACACAAGTTATTGTCTGGAAACTAGAAAAATGCTTATTTTTGGCCCCTTTTTGGCCCCTTATTCCTAGACATTTTGGGCAATTACCCCCAAACTCAATTCCAGCTTTCCCTTTGTGATATGGAACCTTGTAGTACAATTTCATAAAGATCCATACACTTACACACAAGTTATTGTCATGAAACTAGAAAAATGCTTGTTTTTTGCCCCTTTTTGGCCCCTAATTCCTAAAATTTGGAGGCAATTACCCCCAAAATCAATCCCAGCATTCCCTTTGTGATATGGAACCTTGTGGTACAATGTAAGAGAGATCCATACACTTACACACAAGTTATTGTCATGAAACTAGAAAAATGCTTTTTTTTGCCCCTTTTTGGCCCCTAATTCCTAAAATTTGGAGGCAATTACCCCCAAAATCAATCCCAGCATTCCCTTTGTGATATGGAACCTTGTGGTACAATGTCAGAGAGATCCATACACTAACACACAAGTTATGTCTGGAAGTTACAAAAATGTTTATTTTTGGCCCCTTTTTGGCCCCTTATTCCTTAACTGTTGGTACCATAACCCCAAAAATCAATCCCCACCTTCCTTTTGTGGTATTGAACCTTATGGTAAAATTTCATAGAGATCCATTCACTTAAACTAAAGTTAGAGTGCGAAAACCAATGTGTCTTCGGACGACTACGACGACGACAACGACGCCAACGTCATGCCAATATACGACCGCAAAATTTTTTTGCGGTCGTATAAAAACAACAGGATAAAAAAATATATCTGTATTTTTCATATGAAATGTATGGAGAAAAAATTAAGTCAATTATATTAGCTTTTGGGAATATATTAAAAGAAGCAAGAATTTCAAAGAATTTTACTAGGCATGTACTTTATTTGAAAGTTTTTTTCTAAATTGAGAAATATAGAGGTAATTGGGCAAAAAATCTTAAACCCCATGAAGAGTTTACAAAATACAAATGAAAGGTTGAAATCAATGAAAGCAAAAATCCTTCACATGAAAAAATTGCATAAGATTAGCAAAAAATGTACAAAAATCTTACCAGTAAACCTTTTAATACCGTGTTCTTCTGGTCATCACTGCATTCAGTATACCAACGTAATATTGTCTGAAAATATTCAATTAATGCCATTAAACATTGTATATCTAATTTGTAAAAGGTTCCACAGAACCTTGTGTCTTGTCTGCTATTGCTGCTGTAAGTATAAAAGTGAAATGACTGCCAAAAACTAATTCAATTTATCAGTAAAGTATTGGAAACAAAGTTCAAACTTTTAGATGCTATTGAAGGTTCTGTCTAACTTTCATATTATTACATAAAGGTTCATCAAAGTTGTTGATGTCTGAATAATTTAACAATAGACTGTATGTTAATTTTAACTACACAAAACTAAGACTATCTGCCTCTATATCAGTAAAATACTGAAAAAGAATAAAAATATTTTCAAGATATTGCTTCTGACAGATGTTATCTCTTAATCCTATAAAAGCCTCTGTCAAAGTTTCATACAAATCTCTGAAGGTTTTGTTGTCTAAAAAACTTTAACCTCAGACTGTCTCGAAAACTGCAAAAAAGTCCATTTGAGATAAATAGAATATGTATATACACAACTGTACAAGTATTAAACATGATATTTATTTACTGCACTTCTTGGAAAAAATAAATATAACCTCAATAACATAATTACAATTAAACTGCACTTCATTGGTGGAATGCATTACTTAAAACCACTTACATTTTAATTTCTAAGAATTTTCTGCGACCTTTTTTGTATGGTTAATGGATCATAATTAATAATAGAAAGAAAAACTGACCTTTACGTAATGAAAAATTAATATAAAAACTGAAATATATACATTTGCAGCTGATAATATTAAAATATTGGTTAACTTTTCTAGAAATAGCAGCATTACCTTTATGTACTCATCATTCAAACCGCATGAAAAGGCCATTTTCAAATAATAGCTAAGTAGCAAAAATAACTAAAGATAAGAGCAAAAACAAATATTTGTCTTCAGTAACTCATACAATATGTACTTTTGCGTTTAAATGAGTCAAGCTGGTTTTTAATGATTTTCCTTTTGTTCTAATGTTGTATTCAATTTTTACACCCCTCGCTCAGGTTAGGGTGTGGGTATATATGAGCAGATTAAAAAAACACACATACAATCTTTATGCATCCTGTTCTAAGCAATGGACCTGATGTCCAGTGGTTGGTTGTGTCTTTCATTAATGTTTTTCGTGTCATGTTATTATGTGAAAACTGGCTCTTAGTTTACTCTCATGAATAGTTTTGCATTTTGTTATCCCAGGGTTTTTAAAGTTTACTATAAATTATGGAATTTGCTGGAGATCATATTACATCCTTGTCCAGTAATTTGGTCTTTGAAAGATATTTGTCTCAATGTCAATCATATCACATCTATTTATTTTTCGTAAATATTTATTCAGTAGGCTAGCACCAAAATCCCTCCTTGAATTCAGTAGCCTAACAAGAATAGTTTTATGGAGTTTATGCGGTGAAACTGTCAATATAACTTCTTTGATGCCATGAAGAGTTTGAAAAAAGGACCCCAACTTTCAAGTCATCTCAAATGACAGAAATAGAACGAAAACATTTCTGGATCCTTCCAATTCAAATGTAATGTGGCTAAGTCAGATCTTTAACTTACCACCAAGAATTTTACCAAGTTACTAAGGTACATCAATACTTACAGCAAACTTTTCTTTGAACACATGAGGCTTAATACCATCTTGTGGACGTGATGTAAGGTTTTTCAGGAGGTCCGTCTTGGATGAACCTTTTACAACTGTTTTTAATGGTACATCAGACAGACTATCACAAACTGGTAAATGAGATCTTGGTTTTCCACAACCATCTGAATCTGGACTAATTTGGTTAAACCTTGGGACTGATTCTTCATCACTATCACTAGAATAGTCACTCCTACGATATTTATATAAATCTCTACGACTTTGACAAAAGTGTCCCCAGGAGTTTATGGCGCAAGGAGACTGGAATTTCCATTCCATTTGATCTGAATGACAAGCCTTGCCATCATGTAAATACTGTGGGGTGGACTGTAAATAATAAAATTCCTCATCACTTTTCCGACTACAACCTTTGCAAACACATGGGACTTCATGAATATTTATTTCACTTTCTGATTCTGAATGATTGTCATCGCGGGAGTCCATAGACCCTATCCCTCCATCGTTAGACTCACTACTAAAGTTGTGATCTGCGGAATTTTTTTGACATAAATATTTTTCCCCTGGCATGGATGACAGTTTACGTGAACATGGACGCCTTTTTGTTGCTCTATCGTCAAAACATGTGTCGTCACTTGAGGAGTCATTTGTACATCCTGCCACAACAACCTTGGACCCCCTTTCTTCCATTTCATCTATATCTCATGTCTTAATCCATTCTATCTCCTTTCCCTGAAAAAAAAAAACAAAAAAAAACAATAATAAGTTGACATTTTTAAAATGATATGCAAAATAACTTCGCCACTAAAACTTGGGAGCCCAGGCTGTTCACAAAAGACTGCATGCTGTATCTTTCATCTCTTTTGTGAAACAGACAGGTATAAAAATAAGATTTCTACTACAAATGATTTACAGGTATACTTACTGATTTTAGTTTCTCACTAAAGCTGAACAGTCATCAACAGTCAATCAACATCATTCGTTTTAATAGATTATAATTATATCCAAACTATGAAATGCAATATTATTTGTTGAAATCATTGTATATAACTTTTTTAATCATAACCATCCTCTCCTTCTTTATATAAATCACTTTATATTTCTTTTCTAATTCAAATTTAATGTTTGTGTCAGTTTTGTCCCTGCCCTTATAACCACCATGTGTACAGTACAGATATCTTGCTAGGAAAAGTATCATATTTGAAAAGCAAAAAACTTTCATCTTTTTCAGTGTCTGAAGAGTTCATCTTTTTCATGATTGGAAGACTTCAAGATAGAATCCTGATTTGCAACTCAATGTCATCTATGGACATATCAAAAGATATCCTAGATCTAATTTAGGAAGTTGTATTGGTATATTGCATAATGCAGTATTAGGAGAGGCAAATAGTTATATATATATAGATTCTACCACTGTATCGAGTGTGATATGATATTTCTCCACTCAAGACGGTTAAATTTTCATTTTGATATTTAAAATTTAACTGTAGAGAGTGTAGAAATATCGTATTGCACAAATTTGGTGATAGAATCTGTTTCTCCAAAGATATTTAGACAAAAGGTATCCTTCTTTTCCAATGATCTGCAAAAAGATGTGTTCTTTCTATGTGATGTCATCAGGCATGGTCACCATTTTTCATGACGTCACAAAAGGAAATTCAGAAGAAAGCAAGGAATTTTGACGTCATAACTGAATTTTGACCAATGATGAACTGAGATCAAACGAACCACACGTTGATTAAATAAAAAAAATTAACTGGTCAGGAAAAGGATTAATCTGCTAAGAATTAGAGAAAACTTGTCATTAATTGCTTTGACCTACATATACAAATACACAACAGATGTTTAATTAGCAAATACACAAATTCATAAAAACTTTACAGTATTCCTCAGCGATTTTGATATTGATTTTAAAATAGGTTTCGATGAGAGAGTGAACTTCCTTAGGGAAAATTTATTGTTTAGAATAGAGAATGGCCATTTAATCACAAAAAATCTTCATACACCAATATGATATAATTGGAAAAATCTTTCGGATATGATGTGGACAATAATTTGCACCCAACAATATGAACATACATGGCAGCCACAACAATATGAACATACATGGCAGCCAGAGTGCAAATACCATACTATGCTTATGATGTCTTTCGAATGGAAGCAGAAGAAGACAAAAAAAATTTAAGAATTCTTCAACAAAATATATTTAGGTTAATCATTTTACACTGAAAACTACTCTAGTAAATTTACATCCTACCTGAATTTCTACCAATAACGAACCAGAGATCTACTAATTTTCTAATATATTTTTGATGTAAGAAGAGCTTAAACCACCTGCTGATTATCAAAATGACTGAGTGGTCAGGAAAAACATTCATCAGCATTCAAGAAATCATAATTTAAGCTTAATAGTCTAATAGACTGTCTACATTATACAGACATAATAGACTAAAAATGCCTTAATCCTTTTTAATTTTCACCAAAACATATGTTTATAATCAATACTTTATAAAATCATAGAAATATACTTAAATCAACATGCATCAAATAATATAAAAACAAAATTCTTGACACATATAAATATTACCACCAACTATTCTTGAAAAAAAAATCAATTTTCTGTCTATGTACATTTATCCTGGAGATAGAGCTATTGCCAGTATTTCATTTTACTCTTCTGAAAAGTTTGGCAGTCTGGTCTTCAGCGATATTTGAAATTCTATGATTTATGACCACTGCAGTTTTTACTGCCATCATACAAGGGTATAAATCAAATGAAAAAACAGATTATCATATGAATAAATATATAATAAATTCAATTTAATATCTCAAGAAATGGTTATGGAATTATATTATAAAAAAAATATCCACAAACTAGAGGCTCTCAAGAGCCTGTGTCGCTCACCTTGGTCTATATGCATATTCAACAAAGGACACTCTCCAACGTTGTAGACGAAAATAGAATTAATGACAATAAATGTGGAATGTGTCCATGGGACACAGATGATGCCCCTGCTTGCAAATCATATAAAATTATAAACAGACATAACTGAAGAATGGTAAAAGTGACCCTACCCAAATTTGAACTTGATCTGAGTTTTGTGGTAATAAGTATTGTGTATAAGTTTCATAAAATTCAGCAATTTTTCCATTTGTAAAGGGGCATAACTCTAGAACAGTTAAAGTGACACCACCATAATTCAAACTTGATCTGTATTTTGTGGTAATATACTAATAAGCATTGTGTATAAGTTTCATAGCATTTGGTTGAGGCAAACTAAAGTTAAAGAACGGAAACGAAAAATTCAGCAATTTTTCCCTTTGTAAAGGGGCATAACTCTAAAACGGTTAAAGTGACACCACCAAAATTCAAACTTGATCTGTATTTTGTAGTAATAAGCATTGTGTATAAGTTTCATAGCATTTGGCTAAGGCAAACTAAAGTTAGAGAACGGAAACGAAAAATTCAGCAATTTTTCCATTTGTAAAGGGGCATAATCTAGAACAGTTAAAGTGACGCCACCAAAATTCAAACTTGATCTGTATTTTGTAGTAATAAGCATTGTGTATAAGTTTCATAGCATTTGGCTAAGGCAAACTAAAGTTAGAGAACGGAAATGAAAAATTCAGCAATTTTTCCATTTGTAAAGGGGCATAACTCTAGAACAGTTAAAGTGACGCCACCAAAATTCAAATTTGATCTGTGTTTTGTTGTAATAAGCATTATGAAAAAGTTTCATAACATTTGGTTGAGGCAAACTAAAGTTGGAGAACGGAAACCAACTTTGGGACGTACTGACGGACGGACGTACGTACGTACAGACGGACAAGGGTAAAACTTAATGCCCCCTTCGCTACGGCGGGGGCAAACAAATCTCTATTTTTTTGTGTCTTAAATTGCTGATCATTGAAGTCTGTTTAGTTAGTCATTTAAGGGCAATAACTCCTACAGGAAATCATCTGACAGTTTTGAAGTATATGGATATTGGTAGAGCTCAACATTCTGAACAATTTCACCCTTTTCAGATTTCCTCTTTTTATAACTGTTATCAGAATAATGGACAAAACTTGCATTTTACCCCATATGTTCTATTTTTTGCCATCTCGGCCATCTTTGTTGTTAGGCAGGTGTCATCGTACACATTTTTTAAACTAAATACTCTAATGATGATTGTGGCTAAGTTTGATTCTATTTGGCGCAGTAGTTTCAGAGGAGAAGATTTTTGTAAAAGATTACAAAAATTTACGAAAAATCGTTAAAAATTGACTATAAATGGCAATAACTCCTTAAGGGGTCAATTGACAATTTTGGTCATGTTAACTTATTTGTAGATATTACTTTGCTGAACATTATTGCTGTTTACAGTTTATCTCTATCTATAATATTCAAGATCATTTCCCAAAACTGCAAAATTTCCTTAAAATAACTAATTCAGGGGCAGCAACCCAACAACGGATTGTCTGATTTGTCTGAAAATATCAGGGCAGATAGAACTTCACTTGATGAATATTTTTACCAGTAAACAGATTTGCTCTAAATGCTTTAGTTTCAGAGATATAATCCATAAACAGGATTTTACCCATATGTTCAATTTTAGCCCTGTTGGCCATTTTGATCAGCAGGCGGGATCATCGGACACATTTTTAAACTAAATACCCTAATGATGAGTGTGGCAAAGTTTGATTCTATTTGGCGCAGTAGTTTCAGATCTAGAGGAGAAGATTTTTGTAAAAGATAACAAAAATTATGAAAAATTGTTAAAAATTGACTATAAAGGGCAATAACTCCTTAAGGGGTCAATTGACCATTTTGGTCATGTTGACTTATTTGTAGATCTTACTTTGCTGTACATTATTGCTGTTTACAGTTTATCTATATCTATAATAATATTGAAGATAATAACCAAAAACTGCAAAATTTTCATAAAATTACCAATTCAGGGGCAGCAACCCAACAACGGGTAGTCTGATTTGTCTGAAAATTTCAGGGCAGATAGATCTTGATCTGATGAACAATTTTACCCACGTCAGATTTGCTCTAAATGCTTTAGTTTCAGAGATATAAGCCAAAATCTACATTTTACCCCTAGGTTCTATTTTTAGCCATGGCGGCCATCTTGGTTGGCGGTCCAGGTCGTTGGACACATTTTTTAAACTAGATTCCTCAATGATGGTTGTGGCCATGTTTTGTTAACTTTGGCCCTATAGTTTCAGAGGAGAAGATTTTTGTAAAAGTTAACGGACAACGGAGGACAGACGCCAAGTGATGAGAAAAGCCAGGTGAGCTAAAAAATGAATCAAAAGAAGCATGCCCTTTTGAAACACGTGCATGTAAAATTTATGAATTATATAAAATAAAAAATACAAATGTTATAAAAGTGGATTTTCAGTTTAATGGCTTTTATCTTTGGAATAAGGATTATACAAGAAATTACAATTAATTCAATCTTTACAGCTGCCATGGAATTTAAAATGACAACAATATTAAATTATACTTTTACAAATTTATGGAAAATCAATTTTCAACTGATGTAAATTGATTCCAGATGGAATATTAGACCCTAGTTTTACATAAACTGTTAACAAAGGGATATGTCTCGAATATTTGTTATTTTGATAATGCAAATGCTGAAAAGTCGTTCCCTTTAAACAAACCTAAACACAAACATTAACTTGTATACTATGTAAAAGTTTCAAACTCAATGAACCATAATTAGGGGCGTGGGGTTATA